TTGGGTTCGATATTTTCGATACATTAGCTATTGCGAAGGCAATGGAGCTGGTGGTATCACACATTTGTTATGTTTCTTTTGCTGTTTGATGAATTTGGGTTTTCTGCATTTTGGTTGGGGAGATGGCGATTGTGGCTAGTGTAATTTTTGACTTTTTATTTCTCTTTAGAATGACTTCAATTAATTTGGGTCTTCTTTGTTTTGCATCCTTGATCTAGTGGTTTCGCAAAGAGGAATGATATTCTCATCCTCTCATACCATTGTTTAGTTATGCATCATACACCTATGAGCAGAGGGATTCTAGATCCTCTACTTGGATTTTTAATGCCATGATCTGCTTGATTTTTGCTCTGCACGTGCCCTCTCATTTAAATTTCATCCAAGGGGTTTCAAAGTTGACACATCACTAATTTTTTATTAGAAGAGAAAAAACAACAATTTGCTTAAAACTTAAATAAAAAAGTAATTAAAAAAAATCTAAAACCCTAAACCAGGTAATGTTACCCATCTTCTGCAGCCTCCCTTCTGTTTTCTTCTTCATATTTTTTTCTTTTCATTTTTTGCTTTTCAATGTCTTCTTTCTGCCCAATAACTTATTCTACCCCTTCGATTAAACTAATTCCCTAGAGTAGTTGTAAGATTGGATTTTGAGGATTGGCAAGAATTGATTATGATATTGGATGAAAAGAGACAGTGATGAGGTGGTGTTACATAGGGACGATTCCCTCTGGTTGTAAGATTGGACTTTTCTTCCTCTTGTTACTGAGAGATTTGGTTGGTTCCCTCTGGTTATTCTTATCTCCTCTTGTCGTTTGCTTGATGCGTTTGTTCTTGTTGGTGGTTGTATTGTCTTTGTCTTTCAATCAAGTTTCTTGTGAGCCCTGAAAGAAAAGGAAGTTGCAGGCTTGACGTTGAACTCGTAGAGTTAGTAATTACTGTTGACTATTAAGGAGTGTGAAATATTGTTGAGACAATTATTTTTGTTCTTTTTTCTAATGTATGTGTCAACTTTCAAGCTTTTGGATGAAATTTAAATGAGGTGGCATGTAGAGAGTAAAAGACAAGCATATCATGACAAAATCCAAGTCAATGATCCAGATCCATGTGTGTTGTGAGAGAAGGGGTTCAATATTTTTTACAATAATCGTTTTAGTTTGTTTTTTAATCTTTTTCTTTTAAAAAATTTTTTTTGTTTTAATGTTTTATTATATTTTAATCAATTTAAGTTTTAAAAAGTGGGTCTCATGTATATCACATCATCACTTAATTAATTCTTGCATTACAAAAAATTTACAAATATAGGGTGTTTTATTGTTAAAATTGAGAGTGTGGGACAAACATGCTTTAAGAGTGAGAGTTTAGGATATCAAACTAAAATTAACCCGATATTAAATATATGCCATTTTTTAATGATATGAGTTGCATATTATAATTGTATCCAGGTACTCAAATCTTGCAAGCAAAAGAAAGAATTAACAACATTATCCAACTCAAATTTTTCAACCCACGTGCATTTGAAGGTCGTCCTTAGTGAAAACCAAATATCACTCCCAAAACCTTAGTCAATGAAGAAACATTAACCATTCAAATATATCCTTGAATTTGAGTGACTAGTGGCCCAACATGTCATCTTTCCTTGTCCATGACACTACAGCTTTTACCACCAACAAACCATAAATTCATTGGAAATTCATTTTTGTCACCATAGCCAGCCATCCCTCATGGATTTTCTTTCTCATCCGCTAGCAATTGCAGGTCTTTTGGTCTTGGTCCTGTATCTATGGAGGCTGAGGATCCAGAGCCACAAAATCAAGGGCATGTTGGCCCCACAACCATCAGGTGCCTTGCCAATCATAGGCCACCTCCACAAGCTACGCGGCCCAGTTTTCAAAACCTTAGCAGCCATAGCTGACAAGTATGGCCCTATCTTCACCATATGGCTTGGCAAGCACCCTGTACTTGTGATCAGCAACTATGATGCAGTCAAGCAATGCTTCACCAAAAACGACACAGTTTTTGCAACTAGACCAAGGTCTTCACACGGCAAGTACCTTGGCTACAACTATGCAGGATTTGGGTTCTCACCATATGGCCCATACTGGCGTGACATGAGAAAAATGGTCATGGTTGAGTTGCTCTCTAGCCGCAGGCTTCAGAATTTAAAACATGTCCAAATTTCTGAGGTTGATGCTTTCATTAAAGGGTTGTTTTTGCTTTGCAAAACAGAAGAGCACAATGGTCTAAATCGAACCAAGGTCGTGATCAGTGATTGGATTGAGCACCTAACTTTGAATGTAATTACTAGAATGATTGCTGGGAAAAGATATTTTGATAGCTCAGATGAGGGAGACGAGCAAAGGTTTGGGAAAATTGTGAAGGAGTTTATGTATGTGTCAGGAAATCCAGTTGCTTCTGATGTAATTGGTTTTCCAAGTTGGATTGATTTTAAGGGGCAAGTTAAAGCTATGAAGCGTATTATGAAGGAGTTAGATTCTGTCATAGGAAGTTGGGTAGAAGAACATTATGCAAAGAAAGAGACTGACTCAAGGGACGAGCATGACTTCATTGATGTCATGATATCTGTGATTGAGGACAATTCCACGCTTGGCTATACTCGTGAAACGATCATCAAGGCAACATCATTGGTATGTTTATATGCCTAATCATATGAAAAAACCAGTTACTTATGATTTTAACATCGGTGGTGGTAAATCTATTAATGTTTCTCATTGTTTTTTCAGTAAAATTTTCATCTTTTTTTATTTTCAAGTGATGAAATGATAGATCAAAACTACCCAAAACAAAGCAAGAAACTATTTTTTATAAGAAAAAGGAATGTAAAAGTTCATCAAATTAAAGAACAGCTAGACTATCTTTTAAAAGTACACAAAAGTTTCCAACTTGTTGAATTTTTTGTTAAATTCAGAAAGACGGGTCAGTGGTCCATTACTAACAACACTGATATTGCCCCAACTTAACCACTTACAAAATCCAATATGTGTGAGGTTTTATCACAAAGGTCTCGGTGATATTAGTAGTGGAACCATTCATATCTTATATTTTATTTAGTCAAGTTTCTTATGTGAGACTTATATTCTTCAACATTTTTCAGGGTCAAGGCCTGTATATTTTGCAAATTGCAACACTCTAGATTGTTTGTTGTTCACAATTTTCAACTTTTCATGTTGCAGAATCTTATTCTAGCTGGTTCAGAAACCACAGCAATCAACTTGATATGGATCCTCTCTTTACTGTTAAACAATAGGCATGTTTTGAAGCTTGCCCAAGAAGAGCTAGACCTCAAAGTTGGCAGGGACAGATGGATTGAAGACACTGATATCGAAAACCTACCTTACCTCCAAGCCATTGTCAAAGAAACACTGCGCCTCTACCCACCAGGCCCACTCTCAGTGCCTCATGAAGCAATGCAAGACTGTCAAGTTTGTGGCTTTGACATCCCCAAAGGCACCCGTTTATTTGTGAATCTGTGGAAATTGCATAGAGACCCAAGTTTGTGGCCAGACCCTGAAGTGTTCTGCCCAGAGAGATTTCTCACAACCCATGTAGGAATTGATGCCTCTGGTAAACATTTTGAGTTCATCCCATTTGGGTCTGGAAGAAGGTCTTGTCCAGGTGCCACATTTGCATTGCAAGTTACCCATTTGACACTTGGACGCTTGCTTCAAGGGTTTGAATTGGCAACACCTATGGACATGCCTGTGGACTTGACTGAAGGGCTAGGCATTACCATGCCAAAGGCAACTTCCCTTGAAGTTATCTTAACCCCAAGGTTGCCCTTTGAATTCTATGAAGATGGGTAGTGAATTACATTTGGTACTTCGCTAGTTTATGAGATGAGGAAATAAAGTAATTGTCTTTCCTTCCTTTTTCTTTTTATTAATGAGAGGTAAGTGAGGATTTGAATATTTATACATAAATACATGCATCACTAGTAATTTATGAATATCTATTATTTAAGGAACAAAATGCTCCTTATCAATGATATATGTGTGGAATAATCCAAATTCCATTGGCAATAATGTCAGATATAATCCAAAATTTGATTGAACATATAAAAGAGACACCCAACAACAAGAAGAAGCAAAATAGCCATATAAAAAGATGAAAAGTCACACTATTATACCTACAATGTTTTTTGATTTTGGATGCTAAGATTCCCCTGCCAAACTTAACATTTTAACATTTTTTCAGGAACTTTTCTATTAAGAGGGGTAATAATATATCAAATTCACACACACTACACAGATAATAGGACCCGAACCCAAAACCTTTCTCAGAAGAGCAATTGCTCCGACTACTACCCTAGTGGGTCCTTTGCAACTTACTTAGCTCTCTTGAAACCGAGTAACATTCACAAAATATATATATATATATATTGATTGCTTACGTGCTCATTTTTGTATAAGAGTTTAGTTAAGAGGAATTTGTTCTTTCAACGGTAGAGCAATTAGTCTCAACGGTTGAGAGTTTAATTTTATCTTATCTTTTTTCTAAATTAAGTTTTTTTTTCTCTATTTAGAAATAAATCCTCTATCCTTTTCCATGCCCAAGAAGGAGTCTTTTCCTTTTTTCTATTTGTGTTGTTGCGTCAATGAATCCTTTTACAAACCAATAAGAAAGTCATCATTCAAAGGGGTCAACTCCAAGGATGATTACATACCCAAATCGAAGATAACCAAAAAGGAAAGCATTAACTTCGGGATCCAATATACTCTTTCCTCCTTAAACTGATATTTGACGTGTTCTTTCCTAATTGGTCCCCAGAATGGAAACAACATAAATGCCACCTAGCATCGGATACTAACTGCATGCCCAATTGCCCATCAAAACGCTCACAGTCTTTACCTCAAACAACACATAGGAAAAAAACACAACATAATTTTTGTTTCTTCGTTTGTTTCTCTGTTTCTCTTTCAATAGCAATCTGGTTTCTTTCTCTAGAGGGATCGATCAGGTGCAGAGCAGTCTTGGCTGATACCATGGGGAGGAGGAGGAGCTCGCCTGTGAATGTGCTGTTTCAATGGGTGAGGAGCCAGTCAATGAAAGTCAAGGTCTTTCTTGGAGCCTTGCTTGCTCTCTGTGCTTTGCTTGCATTGAGGTTTTGGGTGAGGGATCACAAATACTTCTTCGTTGCCTCTGAGGTTGTGCATGTGCTTGGGATCATCGTCCTCATCTACAAGCTCACCACCCAAAAGACTTGCTCTGGTATCTTTGCCTTCCTCTTTTCTCAATCCTTCATAATTCTGTTTTTTTCTTTCTGAATTGTGGGTTGATTTGGATTATTGGGTTTTTTTGTTAATGTGATTTGTCATGCTTCTTGTTGATTTAGTTGGGTTTTTCGATTTCGATTTTCGATTTTCAATGTTTAAAGGTGTGACCTTCTATTGCTGGATTATCATGGCGCAATGGTTGCAGCTTGCAGGGTACAATTTATTTAGCAAATAATTAATTAATTACTTAGTAAATGGACCAACTTCAATAAAACTTGAAAACAGTTCAAGAAAAAGAAGGGGGATGGATGAAAATTTGAACAATTATAGATGAATTTAGCTCTCACTAATTATATAAAATGGTTATTGTTTTAGCATTGCAATTTTTCATGAACATGGTTAGTCTTTCTTTTGAAGTCCAATATCCATCTTCAAATGCATAATCTTACCCTATTCTATTAGAATTCAGGTCACGTTGTGCTTTATTTTGACAAACAAACTGGTTTCTGATGCACTCTCAGGTCTTTCCCTAAAGAGTCAGGAACTCACAGCTCTGTTCCTAGCAGTAAGGTTGTTCTGTAGTACAATGATGGAGGGTGACATTCACACTGTGCTAGATTTTCTTACTCTCGTGGCAACGGCGTGGGTCATATATATGATACGGTTTAAATTGAAGTCGACCTACATCAAGGAACTGGACAATTTTCGCTTATATTACCTGGTAAAGATCTTCGACCTCCCTTTAAATTAAGTGTTTGTGTGCACAAGTAAATGTATGTATTATTTACTGTATACATGTGTAACTGGGAACCATTTGAGGAATTTATACACATGTATAAATATTACATGTGTATACGGTCTGTATGCCGGTTCATCTGACCCGAATGCTTTGTCAAATACGTGGGAAATCATTTGAAGAATGTATTCAAAGACCAGAACTATTTAATTGGAGATTATAAATTTTAGGCGAGGCTGCATTTGTCATATTTTGTCAGTTAGGATGTTACTGTTAACAGTAAATTTGAAGGGAAGAATTCTATTAAATATTGAAAAGTGCTTATGCCTTGTAATTTCTTTCTCCATTTTGCATCTCCATAGCATGATTTTCAATTGCCAGTTGTTATAAAACCAAATGGCAGACAAGATCGAATCACGGAGGAAACGAAAAATTTTGCTTTCGATTTGAGAAGATTTGGAGCTACTTCCATATGCATGTATTACTTAGACTATGGCCAGCCTCAAACCATTACTATATTGAAACAGGCACTGATCTTGAATGAACATGTTTACTCTGCTTGAAGTAGAGAACTAAAAACTGATATTGGAGCTTTAGAAAAGGTACAAGAATATTAACATTTGTTTTGCCTCATAAACCACAATGCAGGTGGTGCCTTCTGCTGTCCTTGGTGTGCTCGTCCACCCCTACACACTAAATTATCGCTTCTGTCGAATCCTTTGGGCATTTGGTGCAAACATGGAAGCTGTTTCGGTTCTGCCTCAACTTCGGTTGATGCAGAATGCAAAGGTTCAGTTTACATCAGATTAAAACTATCTATCATCCGTTTTACCAACTGTCTGGACATTATTTTGATCTTTGTTTTCTTCTTATCATGCTTGTTTTCAGATGATTGAACCATTTACCTCCCATTATGTATTCGCATTGGGGATTTCAAGATTTTTCGCTTGTGCTCATTGGATTATTCAGGTTTGTCGTGACTACAAAAATTAGAATTCCATATGAAGTTTTGCAATTAGACATGTATCAGACTAAATGCAAAATTTTGCAATTTACGTGCAGATCTATGAGACAAACGGGACATATATATACTACATTGGGAGTGGATATTTCTGGCTTTTGTCAGCTTTCCTCAGTGAGATGGTTCAAACATTCATCTTAGCTGACTTTTGTTACTACTACATAAAGAGGTAAGCCCCGAGAAAAATCTTGCATACGACCTCTCTCGAAGCTTTTATATATACAACGGTTGCATACAATAAATTCTCGTGAACCATGCCCCTCGTGCCACACTCTAATGACTAATCTCAGTTGCCCTGGACCCTCCTAACACAGTATTTTCTGTTTTGCAGTAAAATGGCAGGGCAGCTGATAATGAGGATGCCTCCTGTCTAGAGCTGCAGGGCTTAATGATGTACTGCCCTTCTTTCTCTGAGCAAAATATACAAGCATCTTGTGACATGGGGTTGGAAGTAAATGAGTAAATGTGTTACTCTCGTTTCTTTTTCTTTATGCCATAGTACGACTGTAAGACATGGTCACTTGTGCTTTTTGGGTTTAGGAATGAACGAATTTTTTTGTAGTCAATAATTGAATTCGGATGATGCAAAATACTAAAATGTAAAGACTCTGAGACCAAATTTTTGGTGTTTTGTCGAATTTTACCTTGTCAACTCCTAATTTGAGGAACTTTCCTATTGTGCGGATTCATAATGTAGGCGAATGCACTGCACCTATTAAAGCCACGTGTGCACCCTTCACAAATAAGGTACAGATCAATCACAATTCATTAAGGTGACCGATTCACTCATCGCTAATAAGGTATAGCTTAATCACAATCAATAGAATTATGTTTCCAATAAGTAGCTGATAAAGTCACGAGTTCACCTTTCATTCGTAAATTATAGATTAATCACAGTTGATTGAATTACATTCTCAAATCGATAGACGAATTCAAACTAAAAATGCACTCTGATTTCAGAATTATCAACTGGGTGCCAAGTGTTTATTTTGGCCCAAATTGTCAACAGGAAGGGACCTTAGAAGGGGGCAACCTGGACTACATAGCCCAGATGACTTGTATCTTTTTAAGCCTAAACTAAAACATTAGCCCACCCAAGTATAGTCTTTCCACACTTTAGGCATCCCCTTCTTCCTTTTTGTTTGTTTGTTCCTTTGCAATAGCCATACATTTCCTTCAGTTTTATTTCTTTAAGGGCAAAATAAAATATCATCCCACCCAAGTCCCACACCACTTACGCATAAATGAACCCCTTATTCCCTTTTTTTGGTTTCTGGTTTTGTTTTGTTACAATAGCCAACCCTTTCCTGTACATATAGAATTAGGAGTATATATTCTCGTAGGACTAGGTCAACTAAAAGTAAACGAATATCTATCTTGTTTTCAAATAAAACGTCAATTTATTTGTCGTCTTTTTAATTTTACTAGTTTTTATATATACTTCTCATTATCTTCACTGGCGGATCTGTTAAGGAGCAAAGAGGTGCAGCTGCACCTCTCCTCGCCAAAAAAACTATTGTTGGTGCTTGAAATTGCCCTTTTGCTCCTTAATTCTATCTTCAACATTTAAGTAAATGTCTTTGTCTTTTTACTTTAATTTATTTTTATATTACTCAATTTACTTAAGTTTACAATGTAAATAAGGAAGTACCCCCACATTTGGATTCAAATAAAAATACTAGAAAATCAAATTCCCCTCAAATCAAAGTATTAAAAAATCGGTTTTAGTGCAAAATACGATTTAGGCTAAAAATGATAGCTCATTAAGTCAATATATACTTCATAATAAAATCCCATAAAATCAAGTTTTCTTATTTGATGTGTAAGGAATAAAAGCCGCCAAAAATTATCTTGAGAAAATGATTATTCTGAAAAACCATTTTTCGTACTTAGTCAATACTTTTACATAGAACAATTTTTCATGTATGATATGAATGCATGAAGAGACCTAAGGTCAATTTAGATAAAAAACCTTAGATGTTCAATCAAAAAAGAGTTTTTAACCTTTCAAAATTGCACATCCGCTAAAAAATTCTTGGGTCCGCCAGTTATTATGTTATTTTGTTTTATTAATAAAATTCATTTGTACCGTCGAATTTTATATTTTCTTAAAATATATATATATATATATACGTAAGATAAATTTGACCACTTCATTTTTAAATTCTGGATCCGTCCCTAATTGTCGACAAATAGGGTCAAGGTACAACCCAATGCATATAAAGTCTATGAATCCAAACAGCGACACGTGGTAACCATGCATAATACAAGTAACTGCAATGCTCGGTCATACGAATTTCAAACCCGGTCTATGCGCCACATACCCTATCTCTCTACTTTTTTGAACAAACTCATCTCCTAACAAATCCGCCACGTGTCAACTACCGTACAAATACAACCAATCTCAACCATTCCCCTTTCACCACGTGTCCGCATCACCGAATCTGAGCAACACATCGACACGTCAACATCACTCTCCGTAAAAGGTGCAGACCAGCTTGACCCTGCCGAGCTGCGACTCTCAACATGCGCGCCACGTTTCAGTCTTTCAATCCCATCCTCATGGGATGCGGGTCCCGCGTTTTGCCCAAGTGGAACACGTGGCGGTTGTGGACGATGCCACGTAGCACTACTGTCATGGGGATTCATGGCGTGAAAAGGACGGTAGAGATTCGCGGGGTGACAGCAAGATCTCGCACCACGCGTCCGTACGCATGTGCCAGGCCGTCAGAACCCCAGAGCTCTCCGCCTATCCGTTGTTATTTACGGATGCCAGGCGCGGACACGTGTCCGATTCTAAGCTCTCCATGCACGTGTGCCACATGGCGCGCCCTGAACCTGCGAGCGTGCTCCGTGGGCTCAAAGAAATCTCCCTTTAACACTTGAGAAGAGTTTGTTTCCCGCTAAATTAACCCTTAAACAGGCGATTTTCGATTATTTTAACCAGCGGTTAATTAGGATTAGTGGCGAAGAGTTTTGCTAATCCCGTCCGCTAAAAATATATCCGAAAATATCCTACGTGTCTACCCACCTTCTCTGTCGCCTTCTACTCTTCCGCCACGTGGCGCCCTCCCTCGCTTCCCTCCCCAGCTATTTCCTTACCCTTTTTCTCTCCTCAGAAAATCTGAGAGTAAACCCTAATGTGAATTTCAAAACACAGAGAGAGAGAGAGAAAGATAGAGGAACTTTCTTCATATAACTACGAAGCTCCAGCTTCAAGCTTGAAGTTTTCTTTTTTCAGTTTGAGGCTCTTTGATACGTTGAAAATTTAAGCTTTACGGCAATGGTGGAGGTTTCGGAGCCCGGATTGAAAGAGGAGGAGATTGAGCTCGATTTAGGGTTGTCAATCGGAGGCAGTTTCAGAAAACCAGAGAAATTGCAGCTCGTCAACGGCTTCGGCTTGGATCGGAGAGGAAAGGAAAACCAAACGGCGTCGTCGGAGCCGGAGAGCGCGCTTCTTGATTCGCAGACGAAGCGAGAGATCCAGGCTCTGCGGAGGCAAGAGGCGAAGAGGAAGCGCGAAGAGAAGAGAAGCCGAGGAAGAAACGAGGCCCAAACAGAAGAGCAACAACAGCAACCGGCGATCAAGAGAGAGAGAACAGAGACGAACGGGAATGTGAACGTCAATCTGAATATGAATAACAGCGAAACGGAGCCCCGCTACCCGGTTCAACCGGCTCAGTACCCGTACCCGCCGGTGCAGTTCGTTCCATACACGAACGGCTTCGCGTACCCTTGCGCGATGCCGTGCTGGGCTCCCGGCGGCGGCGGCGGTTTCAGGCCGTTTCAGGCGCATAAAAATTTGGCGAATAACGGGTGCGAAACGGAGCAGAATGGTGGAGTTGGTAAAACGACGACGTCGTCGAATGGCGGATTGGGTAAAACGGGGTCGTTGAATGGGTCCCCAATGTGTAGCTCCTCTACCGTTTCTGATCATCAAAGCGCAGTTTCTCATGAAGGTACTGTATACATACTCTAAATTTTGCATATCCTTTGTTTTTTTTTTTTAAAAAAAAAAAAAAAAAAAAAAAAAAAAAAAAAAAAATTATGCTGCCAACCCATAGAATTTGGTTTTGATTTTTTGGGTTTCAAAATCTTTTAGGTGGTGGAAGCAGTGAGACCAGAAGCCATTCAGGCCAGAGCTTACCAGAAAAAACCCATTTGAACAATGGTTCAATATCAAAAGAGACCAAGGCCCAATCTGAACACACAGCTACCTCCAACTCATTTAAATCAAATTCTCAAGGCAATGATCAAAAACTGGCTCCCAAAGAAGAACCCAAATCAGGAAACACAGAGCCAGTTTCAATTGCCAAACCCATCTCATCAAATGGAGATTCTGCAACGGCAACAAGTACTCCATTGAAGGAAATTACCAAAATGGACCCCGTTGCAAAGCCCCCAAAACCCCAAATGCAGACCGGTTCTCTTCCCCAAATGCCTTATGTCTCCACCACGGGGAATGGCCCAAATGGGGAAAACAATTCATGGGTTCTTGTACAGCTACACAAAATCTGAGATCAGCATTGTCTGTGTCTGCCATGGAAGCACATTCTCACCAGCTGAATTTGTGCAGCATGCTGGAGGCACTGATGTATCTCAGCCTCTGAGACACATAACTGTGATCCCATCTGCTTTTGGTTGATGAGAGCTGAATCTATCAGCTGATATGGAAACTGACCCTTTTTCATTTCTGGTCGTCTTTATCTTAATTTGCTAGCTTTTAGCTTTTAGTTTTTGCTTTTTAATTGCAGCTGATGAGAGTTACGCTTACGGCTGGAAATTAATGGGACAGACAGAGGCTTATTTTTTTATTTATTTTTTATTTTGTGTGTATAAAGTTTTCCTAAATGTGATTGGCGTACAGTTAGCCTTTTAGATCTAATATTCTTGTATATAAATCTGATATCCTCCTTTTTTTCAATATTTTGTTTAACATACTTCCTACAAATTCATCCCAGCTATTTCAAATTCTTAAGGTGGTGGGAGAACTTGAGCTTGGTTACCTTCTAGTTGATCAAATTCCTAATTTAGGGATAATTTCTTTTCCTCATACATATTTTGATAAATAAACATGTCATTAGTAAGATTTTTTATTTTTATTTTTTGTTACCCTTTATTTTCTCTCTAATTAATCCCAAAACATAGAATAGCCCAGGATCAATGTGGGCACGGCCCAATGAAGGACGAGTGGGTCTACAGGTAGTCATCGGCTTGGCCCAATTTACCAGCCCCCACAAGGCGTACGCAGCTGAGCACTAAACAATTGCTCAACATACTCAACAAACACTCAAGTTTTATTTTCCCCAAAAACTTTCCATTTTACCCATCCCATGGGTGCGCTGAGCGGCACATTGAGCAATACTCTTCAATTTGCACGAGACTATGAAGCAATGAATACCCAATAAAAAAATAAAGAAACTTGGCTCTAAATTTACATTTAAAATGCCTTTTTTTTTCTTTTTTTTTTGTGACTATCTAAGTCTGAATAGGCAAATGTGGTGTAACCTAGTGGAAACGGGCGTTAACTTAGAGACCAATAGTTTTATGTTTAAACCTCTATGATACCTTGGTAGTGCTTGTGTGAACCTCTATGAGACCTTAGTGGTGTGTATAGGGCTAGGCATTTAAACCGGTAATTCGGTCAAATCGCTCAAACCAAACCGATGGTTTGAGTTGGTTTTTTTTTCAATTTTATTTTTAGTCATCAATTTGAACCCAAATCAAACAAAAATATATGGTTCGGTGTATGGTTTGTAATATTCAAAACCACGGTTTAACCAAACCAAACCGATTGTATTAAAAAAATATTATTATAAGAAATATATATAATACATATTTTCAATCTTTTATTTTTCTTCTCTCTCTATCTCTCCATTTGTCTTATCTCCATCAGTCCATCTCTCTCTCTCTATTTTTTTTCTTCTTCTTACATCTTTTTTTTTTTTTTTTTTTTTTTTCTTCTTCTCTATCTCTCCCTCTCTTTTTCTTCGTCTCCTCTCCATCGCTTTTATTTCGTCGTCTTCTTCTTATTCTCTCTCTCTCTCTCTCTCTCTCTCTCTCTCTCTCTCTCTCTCTCTCTGTGAAAGTCAAAAACCCAAATCGAACTGAACCAACCCACCAAGTCCGGTTAATCGATGTGGTCAGTTTTCATCAATTATGGTTTGGTTTCGGTTTTCAAAATAGTCAAACCGAGGCTTATTATTCGGTGTTCGAGTTGAGCCCAAAACCAAACTAACCCAGACCTAGCCCACCCCTAGGTATGTATGTAAGAAACTCAACTCTCCTTATAATTTAGACTATCGTTTGAATAATAAAAAATGAAGTAATAGATCCTTTGAATAAAAATACATTACTTGCATCTTCAAAATAAGCCACATGCTTTAAAAAATGACTCATTTAACATCTATTGCTATCATGAATCACGTGCGCAACTAAATAATCATACATTTAATGCACTAATGTTTCATCATTTGAAACCATGAGGTTTGCTTTGAAGTACCCTAACTAGTGTATAACTTACAACAATAATCATCATAATCTATATTAAACAATTGCACCTAAGTAAATGTGGGTTATACCAGTTAGTCAATATATGTTCGCCTCATTGCACTCGGGTTCAACCCCCTCTTTGTATGCTATTTAAAAAAAAACTTCACTTATAGACTTCATATTTTTGTTTTATTTTTTTTTTTTTTTTTTTTTTTTTTTTTTTTTTTTTTTTTTTTTTTTTTTTTTTTTTTGGGGGGTTTGCACTTTTTGTCATTGGTCGTGGACTAAAGGACATTGCTAAACTGTTTATTATTTTTTAATTCCAAGATAGAGGAAGTTTAATTAGAAATAGAATAAAGAAAAATCGCATTACGGTCACAACAAATAAATAAAATAAAATTTTCATTTTCCCTTTCTCGAATATAAATACCCAAAACCCTTTTTACTTCCTTTCTCCCCCTCCCTCTCCCTCCTCCTATACTAACTCTCTCGCGCCTCTTGAAGATCCACCAAAACCCTAGAAACCGCCAAACCTCACTAAGGAGGTGAGAGAAGTCGTACAGCACCACCGACCCTTTCCTCTTCTCTCACCTCTCTCCCTCCGATCCACGCTCAGGTAACTCTCTCGCTCTTCAAATCTCATACATTACCTCTGCTTTTCATATTCTAAGTTTTTTGTTTTGTTTGTTATTTAAGCCTGCTTTAGATCTCGGTTTGTTTCATAGAAGTGTAAAATCGCCTTCTTTAGTTTGCAGTGAACTGATTTAAGTTTGAAGAGTCTTTTTTCTTTCTTAGAATCTTTTTTGTGTACGAAATTAAGCTGAATTTCAGTTAGTGGATAGTTTGAGCCATGTTTCCTGATGAGATTCGAGAAGAACATTTATTTTGGAATTATGTATATAAATAGCGCGAGGAAATTATTATTATTTATATTGTTGTGGAAAGGATTGTAATGTGTCTTCAGTTAACTGGAGAAAAAACTTTTCAAATCTCTAATTGAAAGAATTGGAGTAGTATTGAAATGTTGTATTTTTAAAATAAAAAGGAAAAAAAGAAGTGCAGTATTCTTTAATATACGTTTTAGTGAAATCATCTGTATCAGTTTTTTTGGTTCAATGTGTAATGATGTTGTTTGATTTCTAGAGGTTGATCAGAGATGACGACTCCGGTGCAGCAAGCCTCAGCTTCAAATCTCCCTCCTAGTGCCGATGTTGTATGTATTGATACCTGAACAGTAGTTGATGATTTACTACACAATTGATCCTGATGGTTTTTAACGGATTTGGAATGATTTTTTGTCGTTGTTAAATATAGGTTGGCAATGCATTTGTTCTTCAGTACTACAATATCTTGGAACAATCCCCTCAGCTTGTTCATCGATTTTACCAAGATATTAGTAAGCTTGGTCGTCCTGGAGATGATGGGATCATGAGCATTACAACCACGATGGATGTAAGCTCCTTTCGAGACCCAACTTTCTTTATCGTTATATTAATGCATCTGCATGTTCATGCCAGATCATATTCATAATTGTTATTAAAGCAACTAATTTGGTGCCTAGATGCCTATGTCTAGGAGTTTTGTTAAATTTTGGTTATATATATTATCTCCAGAAGCTTAGAAAGTATAAGAAAAACATAAAAATTCTGTTGCACTGGATATAGAGGCATTACAAGTTAAATAATTTAAGAATTGTACATTTTTCTCAGCAACTAAATATAGAAATATGAAGTTATGAATCACAGACGGAATTGATGAAAATTGTGAGAGTAATAATTCCTTTTGTTTTGTTTATTATATTTTACTGGGCAGGCAATCAACAAGAAGATACTTGATTATGGAGAGCTCAGTGCAAATATCGTAACTGTGGATGCTCAAGAATCTTACAATGGGGGAGTATTTGTCCTTGTCACTGGGTTTTTAACTGGAAAGGACAATATAAGGAAGAAATTTACTCAAAGTTTTTTCTTGGCACCACAAGACGTAGGCTACTTTGTTTTGAACGATGTTTTTAGATATGTTGATGATTCCACCCCTCAAAACGAGGACAATGGATTGGTTGTTGATGCTGCTGTTGAAGCTCCTCTTACTCCCAAGCATGGTATGCATGATTCTTATTTAAATGTTAAAGTGTGTACTTTTGTTAGCTCTAATTGAGTTTGATTCTTGTTGTAGATACTACCGCTTTGCAGGTCTATCATGTCTCAGAGCCTGTGGTTGTAGTTTCTGAGGATGTTGCCAAGGAGGAAGTATACAATCCCACTGAAAATGGAGAAGTTTCAATCGAAGAAGAAGAAGCACCAGTACCGGAGGTTGTCAATGAAATTCCTGATGATTCACAGGTGGTGGCTGAATCTTACTCTATTGTCGAAGCTAAATCCAACTCCAAAGTTGAAGCTGAATCCAACTCCAAAGTCGAAGCTGAGTCCAACTCCAAAGTTGAAGCTGAATCTAACTCTAAATTTGAAGCTGAATCTAACTCTAAAGTTGAAGTCCCGAAGAAGTCATATGCCTCAATCGTAAGTAGCTGTTTTACTATCTCTCATGCCTCTAAATATTTTCAGATTTGTAAATATTGTGTAATTGGTTGCGGTACTACATTTCTCATTAACTTAGTAACGCAATTTGTGCAAAAGAATCTCACTTTTCCTCTTTCTTTGTTGTTGTCCGCACCTGATTCTGGGGCTTAAATCACTTGTTCCAGCTTAAGATTATGAAGGAGAGTACTGTGCCATTTTCTACTCCAGCACCTGCTTCTGTGAGGTCTGTCCCAAAGAAGCAAGAGCAGCAAGTGACTGCTGCTCCAACATCTGTTCCAGTTTCGGAAACGGTAGTTTCCAGCACAAATGCACGAGAAAATGGGAATCTAGAGGCTGAAGGTATGCAGTTCATACCGCTATTTAACTTATTCTCTGTTTCTTATCCTCCCATACGTTTGCACAGTAAATTTGGTTTCATGTAAACAGCTGAAGGTCACTCTATCTACATTAAAGGTCTGCCAATGAATTCTACGAATGCTCTTATTGAGAATGAGTTTAAGAAATTTGGACTGATCAAACAGAATGGTGTGCAAGTTAGAAGCCAAAAGGTTTGTCTTGAGTTTCTCTATCTTTGATGTTCGCAATTCTTCTGTGAAAGTACTTATTGTTCCTCCATCATTACACAGGGCTTTTGTTTTGGCTTTGTGGAATATGAGGCTGCAAGTTCTGTACACAGTGCGATGGAGGTATTTAATAGACATTGTTGCACAACTTTTTTTTTGTCATGATCCATTATATTGGATGTTTGAATAGATTTATGTATGTCTATTTGTTTGAACCCTATGAATGAGTTTTTAACATTAGGAAAGTGGCGTTTTAGTTCGTTGCATGTTTCTTCATTGATGCACTATGTTTTTTCACGCCCCATTATCTTGGAAGTTTGAACAGATTTATGGTTCTGTTTATTTGTTTGAACCCAATAAAGAGTTGTTAACATAATTGCTTTTTAATTTATTGCTTGTTTCTTCGTTTATTGATAAAAACAAAAGAGTCCATTTGATATTCTACTCCTTTGATTTGACAAGTCTTTATGTTCTTATATTTTTTCATGTGCTTGTGCGGTTAATATTTTTCTATTGGTGTTGTAGGCTTCACCCATCATGATTGGCAACCGCCAAATTTTTGTTGAGGAAAAGAGATCTACTCGAGGTGAGTTGTGAACGTTGTGTTCAAAATGGAGATTGCACATTTGTACCCTCCTTGATTCTAATTCTTTTACAACAATTTTTTGCTTGTCCATTTCTCATGTAGGGAACAACAGGGGACGGTTTTCATCTGGAAGGGGCAACGGCAATGGATACCGGACTGAAGGTGGCAATGGTTACAGGACCGAAGGAGCAAGAGGACGTGGAGGCTATGGAGGTGGTAGAGCTTATGGACGTGGTGATTCCGGTTTCAAGTCTGAATTTGGAAGTAGGAGTAGCAATAGGGGAGGAGCACCGAGTCGTGGAGCTGATGGATATCAGAGGTCTGATCATGGTGGTCGTGTGAATCGTCCTGCCGGGGTGGCTGTTAATACAGCGGCCAAGAGTACAGCACCACAAGTGTCTGCCTCAGCCTGAGAAAGGCCAGGCTTCGAAGAGGTTCATTGGTGAATGAAGACAAATTAAAATTTTTTCGAGTGACCATGGTGTAATTGTCGGATAGCATGAAGAGGGCTGTTTATGATCTGTTTGTGGATGAACCGCCTAGGAATTCCCATAGGATTTTTTTCCTTTTGACTTTTTATCTTTCGGCTTTAATTTTTGAGTTATTTTGGGGTTGATAGTGGTGGTAGAATTATGCTTTAGTATATGTTTCTCGATAAACTACTTGTAGTAGCTCCATTGCGCTGTTTAAGTGGAAGGAAATTGGGAAAATGAATTAGGATTTAGGGTTTTTGATGTGTTGTAATGGATGTCGCGTGTTGGTTGTAGGTTTCCCTGATTAATGTGGGCTAATGTTTTGCGGATGGTTTGATCCACTGTTTACTTGATTTTGTGCATCGGTACAAACTCGACCCTAGATCTTTTTTGTTTTCATAAGTTAATAAAATCATTTCATATTAGGAATTCATCAATTAAATTTTGTCTATTCCATTTGAACTCAGTGTGAAAGTCAACTTTTTTTTATTAAATTAATATACTTAAAAGACTGCAAAATGTTGCAATCAACTGAAAGTTTTCATTCTTTTTAGTCAATTCAAAACTTACGACCTAGTCCAACCGGCGTCCAACTCTGGCCGGCTATCCACATCCTCCGGGGACCGCGTCAAACCCCCAAGTGTAGCCAAGTATCAAACCTTGTAATATTTGTACGGAGGAAGTAAATAAGCATCCGCCATTACTTTTCTTTTTCGAAATCTATCATACTTGAGATATTTGGCGTATTTTCCAAAACCAAAAGGGGATTCTTTTAATTTCACTGAACTTCGGGCTTGAGGAAAACAAGATAGTAGCATACAATCTTCTCATATCAGAGCCCTCCAAGGCATTGTTCTGATATTGGAGAGATAGGCTTGAAAATAGGGCGGGTTATATGAAGATTGCTACATTCTTCAGGGTCCAATAGCAGCTAGCTAAAGGCAATTTACTGTAGATATATCCACCAACTTTCAATAATTAACATCTTCCAAGTAAATTTAAGTTGTATGAAACAATAAAAAGAGGACCTAGATTAACATGGAAAACATGTATGCTACACTTGAACTGATGCATATCTTCCCTATACTTGCTAAGAAGAATATAACTGGTTAACTTGAAAGGAGTAGCAATGGAACCCACAAGGAGATAATAGCTTACTAGCTACAAGGACTAGCATTGGCAGATCCTCCAACTAGAGCTTCAGCAAACCCCCTGTTCATTTAAAGACCAAAATTGCAGGCTTGAACAAACTCCATATCATAATCGACGTGTTTTTCCCAGAGTGGCCGGAACTGGCTCATGGCTATATCAAGCCAAGGCTTCATGTTCCCATTGAAATGCACCACTGCGGCATTGCGAATCTCTTCCATACTGATGCTTGGATTATAGCCGAGTCCCAGAACATGCCATGACTTGTCTAGAGGCTTTGTTGTTGAGTAGAATGTGATTAAACCTGGGGGAAGTGTCCCCAATTTCCACAAGCTACGGTTCTCATTCTGCAAGGAGACAACATCCCTAGTTAGTGCTACTCCAATAGACCACCAGTCAATTACACATTTAGAGTTGAATGAACAAAATCAACACAGAGATATCCCGAAACAGAATACTTAACGTGAATGACATGATAGCATCTAAAAAAGCATTATCAGTAATTTTCCCTTCTGTTTTCACTACAACTAGTGAGACATTCTTTACCATTCCCTAAAACCCTTACTACAAGGCCAACTAGAAGCTGTATGTTTGAAACATAAAAAACTACAAATGCACAGAGTCTGCACAACCTAACATATTCTACAACTTATGCATATATATATATATATATATATACACATATCAGATACCACCATATTTATTTGCAAATGTAAGGATTCCGAACAGAAATTTGACCAAGAAGAAAAGTAATCTCTTACCAGATTCTGCCAGTAATGATACTCAGCGGTACAATTCTGCCTTCTCCAAGCATCCAAATCAAAGAAGTTCATTCCATAAGCCCACGCACATGCATTGGGATTGAACTTCTCCTTAATCAAAGGATGTGAGAAATTCATGTACTGAGCATAACGATGGAACGAACCAAAACATGTCTCAACCGCCCCGTTCACCTTCCCATCCATATCAATGTTCCACAAACCAGTTAAGTCCTTCTGAACCACTATATCATCATCCAAGAACAGAATTCTATGCAATTTGGGGTACATTTCAGGCAAATAAAACCTTAAGTGGTTCAGTATAGACAAATACTTGGGATTCCTAAACTTCATGTTTGTTGCGTCTTTGGTTGCATTCTCAAGCTTATTCTCAAAGTAAAACTGTTGCAACTTTGCGTTCTCCAATTGCTTGAGCACCGGCACATATGAAGAATTCAAGAACTTGTAATCCTCCACAGCCTTCACTTCAACATGTGACCCATTATAGTCCTTGCTTTTAAACATAACCTGCATTGCTCCAAGGTTCATCTTATCGGTAACTACATGGAACACATGTTTCCATGGCTCCTTGGCGTTCTTCACTGCCGAATTCACAACCACTGAAGCTGCAATCACATTATCTGAAAATATAGCATAATGGTAAAGATTGGGGTCCTCAATTTCGGGCGGAGTCGGCTTCCCTTCATCAGTATACTTCTCCGGATGCGCAATTCGCTCCTCCATCAACCGCATTGCAACGCAATGCAAGCTTTTAGGGATCGATTTTGCGGCAATCAAGCTGGAGAAAGCTCCTTGCTTCTTGGCCTTCGTCAGCTGCTCGTTCACTTGGAAAATAGTGTCCTTAAGCTTCTGAATCTTTAGCTGGTTATCAAAAGACTCTTTGGCTTCGGCGATTACTTGTCTGGTAACTTTGATTCGCTCTTTCACTTCTTTCTCGAACTGGCGCAGCACTGATTCATCGATGTTGAGCGCGTCGGAGTCGAAGAGAGCGCGATAAGCGGGCTTGTTCATGAGATCCGAGTAGTTTCGCGAGAGATCGGCGAAGACCCGAACGAGCTTGGAGTTCTCGAGCTTCAGCTTCCGCGCATAGCTAGCGTATGCCAGGGCTAGAGTCCGATGATCGTCTGCTTGCTTCCGGATTTGGTCCAGTCGCGGCTTCAGAGGATCCGATTTCAGAGCAAGCACCGTCCTTCTCGTCGATCCCAATCCGTATGAACCAGAATTGAAACCCTAATTCGCAAATAACAACAAAAGATTACTAATTGCTTCGATTTTTGCAAACTTTTTCTACTAGTCTAGTTCCAGCGGGGGAATGGAAACGAAAATCCAAAAACGATTAGATCCCGAAATGAAAAACATGAACTTGAAACACCATTGAAGCAGAGAAGCAGCGAGAATGTGAGAGATGAGCAGAGAACACTTACCAAGTCAGTGAGATCAGAAGTGTCGGTTTGGGAAGTAATGACAAACGAAAGAGAGATGAAGAAGACGACGGCGACTGCAATGGTCATAGCCAGAACACTGAAGGACGCGGTGGAGCTCCGCATGGCTCCTCCTCTGCTGTGGGCAGAGACTCGAAGGTTCGCCATTTTCGATTTGGCTTTGGCTCCTCTGTGTCTGTGAGACTCACACTTCTTCTCTCACTCGGACTCTGGCATTAATTTTGGATTTTTTTTTAAAAAAATTTCCTGTTAATTATTAACTGTAAAACGCGGATCAGCGAGTGCGACTTGGCGGTGCATATTAAAATCCCAACAATGTGGGGCCCAGGTTAAGGCTGTTATTTTTGACTTTTTTCACTTGTTCGTTAGTGGGATTTTGGTGTTTATTAATTAGTTAATTACGCATTTGTGAAAAATAAAATTCAGTTAATTAAGCATGGACCCAATAATGTCAAGTCTCAACTCAAGACACGTTTACCAAATTATCTACCTTATTAATATGTGACAGTTAAGTTGCTAATTCACATGGGTTCATTAATTAGTAATTTAGTACTCATTACACATCAATTCTTACATTTTTTCATCAACTAATGTGACATTTAATAGTTTTCTATTGTAAAAAAAATGTTTATTATAGCATACAAGGATTTTTAATTTCGATTTATGCATCGTTTGGGGTTTTATTTGAAAAGGCTCCAGTGTAATTTATAAACGGCTCATCTTTCGATGTGAGATAATAATATTTGATTTCAAATTTGTGACATCTTAATCTTACCGCGTATAATTCCAAATTGCCTTGGATGCTATTGCTCATATCATTCATCACGTACCATGGCAGTTGGGTGCACAACCACTCCCATATGATTTTCTTGCAAACAAGAGCATGCCATGTGACTTTTTTTTTTTGGTAGCCCAAGGGCACTCCATTATTAGAAGAACATACTCCTAACTCCATTATTAAAAAGGCAAGGCTACTTTACTAAAGAGAGAAAGGGTGGTCTCTTCTTTTTACCTAGAGAAATATCAAAGAGCTAGATCTACACGGTAATTAAAGAGCTCTAATTAGGTAGGATCTAATTGCTATGGTAAAAAAAACGGGAATGATATTTTCAAGCCATTGAAAGAAAAGCCACTAGCTAAAGTTGTGGGGTCATTGATGAACCCTAATCTCAAATTGGTCATCATAGTAGGCTTATAGTAGGTTAAAGTACATGATGAGTTGACTCTTTTAAGAAACTTTAGGTGGAAATAAATTGGTAACCTAGAAATGAGTCAGATGGATGGAAACAGAGGAACAATTTTATCTTATAGTTAATTTGTGGAAGCCAATTTATATCATAAAACAAAGGGACATATTTACTCGTGGCACTCTTACTCAAATACACATCATTGCTACTTGAATTTAGCATGCATTAACCAAAGTAAATCTAAAAATCTAGTTAAATCAATGGTACCCCTTCTTCCCATGCTTGGTGACATGGTGCAACCATCCAAACCCTTTGAGGGCCTTGGAAAACTTGACAAGATTAGGCCTCCCCATGCCCAAATTCATCTTCCCTGCTGAGAATTTCAATGCCTGCAAGCAGCATAATTGCCCATCAAATTCTTCCTCTTCCTCTCCATCATCCTCCTCCTCAACCTTTCCATTCTTGCCCTTCTTTGACTTGCCTTTTCCTTTCATAGCTTTAATTGATTCTGTCTCATCATATGTCTCCCAAAGCATGTCCATGCCCTCACCTCCACCTTCCACATTGTGATGTCTCTCCTCAAAAAGCTTGCAAGCCAGTGTCCTCCTCCACTCTTTCTCTTTCCTCATTGAACCAAAACTTCCAAGATTTGGGCCCATTAGCATTTGAGAGTCCTCCATAACTTTAATGTTGTCTTCTCCAAAATTTGCTCCTAGCCTTTGGGAATTTGACATGGATTTGGAAGTAAATTGATCTCCATCATAATCAGCATTCACTTCACAAAAACTTGTTTTGCTACCCAAATCCTTGGATGCTCTTCTCATGGACCTTTTTTCTTTTCCATCTTCATCAACTTTATTGGACAGTGTGCTTGCTGGCTTGACTTCTTTCTCTTCCTTGAAATCTTTTGACCAATTCTCCTCTTGAAAGAATGCTGCCAATGTCTCCACTCTTGGCCAAGCAATAACCTCAGCTGGGTTTTCATCTAAAACATCACTTGCAGCTTCCAGTGGAGCAGAGATAGCATTGCCTTCATGGCTGGACACATCATCAACTGGTGCTTCTGAGACTTGTGAGCAGATTTCTTCAACTGGGTTCTCACCAATCTCGAAACTAGACGTATCAAACACAATCTTATACACTTCAAGCTCTTCGAAAGATCGAAACTCTTCGTGATCATGATCATCACCAGCACCATCATCTGTTTTAGACTTCTGCAGTCTTTCCAAAACAGTTTGGTAAGTGGTCACAAGACATCCAACTTTGATGCTGGACAATTCGGAATTCGCAACGTTGTCTTGGACAAGTGGGGGAGAGACAGTGAGGTAAGCCAGGACAAGAAGGGCGGTGGTGATGAAGAGAGGAGACAGAAAAGAAAGGAGCTTGAGGAGGTATGGTGAGAAGAAAATGAAGTAGGAGAAGTAGAGAGGGTGTGACAAAATGAAGAAACAAACATTGAAGAAGTCAGCAAGAAGAAGACTAGAGAATTTAGTCTTCTTGGAAGTGTTTGATGAGAAAGAAAATTCAGACATTTTGATGGTGGTGTTGGGGTCTAAGGGAGGAAAGAAGCAAAATGAGAAGGATAGATAGTGATGTGGTGAACAAGGAAAGCTTTGGTGTTTTTGTGTTGAGTAAGAAGAGAGAAAAGTGTGAAATTGGAAGTGAGAGCGGCGTGAATAAAGGAGAGATAGACTGGGAAATGATATTATGAGAGTGAGAGATTAACTAGCAGCAAGCTAATAACAATACCAAAAAGCAACTTTAGAATTCAGATTAATCAAAAGAAAGGGAGAAAGAAAACATGTTTGGAAACTTTTCTTTGCTTTTTCTTTCCCATCCACAACCACCCAATTATGTATGTACCATGTCCAAAATTTGGATTTACCAAACTGACCCTCTCTTCTTGAAGCCCTTCTCAATTTCAATGGTGGGATCTTTGCACAGATACAACTTCTCAACAATGATCATTAATTTTCTATAATTATCACATGCACATAGTTATATGGATGTAGTAGGATTGTTTAAATATTTGTACGAAATTAGCTTGCTATTAGCTACTTGCTACCAATGATTTTGGCAATAAAAACTTGGTTGGCCTCCTCTAAAACATGGAGCAGTAGAATGCATGAATAAACCGGTGGAAATGTAAACTTTCGTAATTTATTATAAGCAAAACATCATTTTTTATCTGTGTATCTTGTTGGTTTTATATCAATTTGGTTTCCGTAGTTTCAATTTTGTCAATTTAAAAGATGGATTTTACCCGTTTTTATATTTTTAGGCTAATTAATCAAGCTTGCTACAGTTTAACTAGCATCCTATGCATTCTCCATTATTACACCAACTCATCATCAACCACTTTTGTTTAGTTACTACCAATTTTTTTCTTTGAAACCAAGTTATTGGATTGAAGTCAATCTAATGGGGACAGGGTCAACAATGTAAATAGAGGATGAAGAAAATACATATAGGTGGTTGAGGGAGGAAAAGCAGCAATTATAATCTATGAAAGGCGAGAAGAAGAAGAAGAAGAAGAAACAGAGGGTGTGATTGAGGAGTTGGGTGTTGTTGCACATGGGAAATCACTCATGGTCACTCAAGTGCATGCCATGCAATTGCATTTGCATCCTTTCTTTTCTTGGTCTTCTGCCTTTCTCACCTCTCAAGGGACCCATCTTTGTCTCGTCACTCTTCTGGATCATGAAATCAGGGGCACCGACAGTCATTTACCACATTCTTACTCTTTCATAGCTCAAGTTTTGACCAGTAAATCAAGTTTTATTTGTTATTGAACAGAGCAAAGTTACCCAAAAGAGAGAGTAAGCAAAGGAAAATTGAGTACAAAATTTAGGTTCCCCTTCGAGGATTGCACAATTTATGTACCAATTTGTGTTTTCACCATCTAAATTTGCCTTGGTGTAAGTTTGAGACTTCTTCTGCAAAGGATAATGAGTCTCATTCATTGGATCCTTGCCCAGTTCTGCTTGAAAAGTAATAATAGCTTCGTACAAGCACTCTGAATTTGTGCTGGAGTCACTCAATCTCTCTTAGTGTTATGCGGTTTAGGGTTTAGTACATTCATGTTATAACATGAGTTTTCTTTTTTTAATGTTATACCTTACATAAACTCATCGTGCACTTATATTATAACACGTTTGTAAATTAGTAAAAATGTATCATAGTATGACTGTCACACTAAAAAATCTTTCACATTATTGCCAATGTGTCAAATGTTCATGCGAACTGAAAATTTATATTTTCCGACTCTATCTAATGTACAAGAATTACATGCCCTCTTTCTCACCAACCACGAGGGTTAAGGGAAACAATTCTAATGATACATACACACATGTATTTTTATCGAATTTTTTTTCAATGTGACGCTCATATCGACACATATATTACAAATCCACATGGTATAATATGAGTGCAAATCATGGTTAAACAACACTATTCTCTATTATGACTCATTAATTCATCTAAAATACACTGAAATGTGAACAAATCTAAAATACAATCTATCACAATTCAATATATTAAAATTACATTTGTTTTAAATGTAATTTAAAATCTGTTTGCTATGCCAAGTCAAATGTTTGTGTGCTTCCACCCAATTGTAAGAGTTCGCTTTGCTAAAATTTTGCTTTGGCATTGGATAAAATCCGATTCCTATTAGGCTGCTCTACCGCTGTATCATGCATTGCTACATAGGAGCTAGCGGATGCTTGGGCGTTGAACCTTCTCTTCCTATCTTAGCAGCTACAACACAAATAACGTGTAAGAAATATGCTTTTTGTAACTTTGAACCTAATACAATTGCAAAAGTTTGAGTTTTCTGAGTCTCAACTGCTCAAGAATTTTTTGAGTCTTTATTGGGATATTTGATGCTTTTTGTTTCAAAAAAATCGTGGTAGTGGTGGAGGAAGAGGAAGAAGAAAGGGCCCTAAACCCAAGAAGAGCCTAGGTGTTTGATGATGGTGGAGGTTTTTGAAGTGTGTTTGGTATTATTGGAGAGAAGAGGAGGCTTGACAAGCAATGGAGGTTGGTAAGTGTTTGTTTGCCTATTTCCCTTGTGGCTTCGCCATTTCGGGGCTATTTTTTATATTAAAATTTGAGTGTATTATTAAAATTATATTTATTTTATAATTTAATATATTATTTTTTATCATTTTACATTAAGATAATTAGTAATTCAATAAATAATTTGACAGTAGAATATACTAAATTAATTTAAGTTTCGTTTAACAACACTTTTTTGTTTTTTGCCTGGCTTTTCCGACCCGAGAACAAAAAAATTTGCAAAAACCTGAGACAAAATGGAAAAAGAGGAAAATAAGAAAAGGTGGCAGATACATACATGAGACAAAGTACATATAATATTCTATTTCCTTGGCTCACTCCAGGCAAGCTCATTTTGCGTTTTCCAGGGGTTTTACTCTCGCCAACTCACTGAGTCACTCCGACTCGCCGCGTTCTCTATGCCTTCCACAACCGACCACCACATTCTCTGCCTCTGCCTCTTCCTCTTCCTCTTCCTCCGCCACCTCAGGTAAAAAGGAAATGACTTTCTCTTTCAAATGGCTTTTTTCTTTTGTTTTTGTCTTTTGCTTCATGGATGGGGGCCACTCTGAGCTTGTTTACTGGGTTTCTGGTCATGGGCATTTTTTGGGTTTATGAGCTCAAATGCACAAAAGGGCTCTTCATTTCTGCATTGAATCTGCCATTTGTGAGAGTCTTGTTTTTATGTTTTGGCTATGGTGGGTTGGGGGGGTTGACCTAGATTTCCAAGGTCAGACATTAGGAATTTTTTAGTTATGTAGATGCTTTAAAATATATATATATATATGGATTCTTTCAATTTTATTCCCATTTTTACACGATGGGTTGCTATATCCAACTTCAAGATGACTGAAATTTATTGTCACCATGCACTAGTTACAGTCATTCCATTTGGGACCAATTTTAGATTGCATAACCATCAAAGCATTTTTTTTCTCTAGTCACTTTAATCAAAGGCACAAAAAGGGTTTCAAGTAACTATATGGGGAAGTTATTATTAATTTTTCCCTTATTTTTAAATAATATCGTTCTGCTGTTGTGAAATTTCTGAGTCACTTAGTTACATGTACTTGCATCCTAGCTTCTCACAACTATACACACTACAATTTCCAATTCTTTATAGATTTTTTTTTTTAGATTACTTTTGGGGTGATCAAACCATTTGAAGTTGAAATGCACTTTTAGATAATGTAGCTAGTTGGTAGCTTTTTTATCCTGCTGACTATTAGTACTAGTTTCATCTGACGAGCCTTTAACGTTCAGAATAATACTTATGAACTTAGTTGCTGAATGGTAAACGTAACCTGTTCCTCTGAAATTCATCGTCCTTTAATGCTCTTTCTATAGCTACTTGCATTCTGTTTTGATTTCCTTGTTCATATTTATATATCTAGTGTTTGTAGATTAGGTTACTTTAAATTGTTCTGACAAAACTGTAATCCTTCAATGACTTGTTACCACTTGAAACTCAAACCTTTATATTTTTGCATTGGTATAATTAGTCTGTTTGTTTATCCAAGGAATGACATGATTTGTGAGGAAGGCCACCAAGTGAGCTCTCTACATCCATAATATTGAAGCCATGGTGAGCATAAGAAGAAGCAAACGCTTGAGACTACGTGCTGGTAAAAGTTGCTGAAATGTGCTATATCACATATGAATAAGTTTGGGCCTATTCATACTAATTTTAATATCTGTATAAATCACCTCTCAATAGGTTCTTAATCAGTGACAAGGAGTTTTCTGATGCTTGATACACTAGGTTCTTGTTTATTCTTTAAGCTGTTTAACTTAGTGTTTAGCTTGCTTATTAATTGGAGTTTTCTGCTGTATAACTCACATGTCAGCGAGTTGATTTTTCTAAAAAAATTTAGTGAATAAAAATATGATTGAATAAGTTCTTTTTTATTTATTCACCAAATTGTACGTCTTTCCAGAGAGTTCTGTTCTAGCTCCAGTGCCAAGGTTTTGTGACAAGGGAACTGCTCCTCAAAATTCTACACAAACAAAACCAGATAGTGTGCAGTCAATTCCTTCAAATGATGCGAACCTGCCGGAGGGGGTAAGAATGGATTACCAATCAGTCCATGTTATTGTGTCACATGCATCAGAGGGACCATTCTTTTCTTTAAAGGTTTTGTCTACTGATTAAAGACACTTGTCAGGGTTCCTAAAGTTAAAGAAAATCATCTGTAGGATGATAACTCCCATCCTGATTTTGTCCAGAAACAGTTCAAGATTTGTCGTTATATAACTAAATTTTTAGAGCACTTGTACGAAAATAACTGAAAAATCTTGGTGAGGAAATTTTTTTTGATATGATACATCTTCTGGTGTTTTGGCTAAAATTAGAAAAGAATACCTTTTTGTTTCTTTGTCATGGTTGGTTCTGAAAACAACTGCTTATGTTCCTGCACTATAGCGCTTAGTTCCTAGTTCCTTGATACAGAAGGTTAGAGAGCAGCATGTTCCTGCTCTATCCTTTGTTATGCCTACTTAGTTCGTCCGAATTAATTAAAACAAAGCAGAATAAAGAAATCTAAAACTCTATTTTGGAAGAACCAAATTGCTTTCTCTAGCTAGTTTTCTTTGTGTGAAGTACTCAGATATGATCAAAACACAATGTATTAATGTGTAAAATAATTACTAAGAGGTTTATATGCCAAAATAAATTATTTCCAGAATGCGACTCATACAAGGGCTTCCTCTGAGATTATCAGTGTGTTGAGAGAGCCAGCTGTAGCACAGAGAGTTTTGCTGGGCTTACTTGGCCCTGATGATACCAAGATTATGCAGGAGTACAATGACGATGGTTTGAGGCAAAACTTATCCCACCATGCCCTTGCTGTAAGTGATTGTCCTCAAGATTTCATTGCCTTACCATTTCTGTGTTGATCTGAATAATTTAATTTTGCTACTATGTCAATTATTTCAGGCCTGCCTCCACTTTGCCATGTGGCTAAGGGAGAATGGAGAGTCTTCCTTGGCCTCCAGGGAGGGCAGTGAAGCCAGAGCTCATGTTGCAGAGCTGGAGGAAAGATTTAGATATGTTGAGGAGATTCTGAGGCATCATGTCCAAGAATACAAATCTAAGCTGAATGGCCTGCAAAATAATGTTGATCAGCTGAGGCAGAAGGCTGATTTCTGCGAGAGGAAATGGAAGGAGCAGGAGGCCTTGCATCAGGAGAAGGCCACTCGTTTGGAAGAGGTTTCGAGGCAGCTTGAGGAAGCTAACTCCAACCTTGCCAAGGTCACTCAAAGTCATGACATGGCCAGAACACGTATCGAAAAGCTGACTGGTGCCCTCACTCTAAACAGGAAGCTCTACGATCGGGCTGAGGTTGAAGTGAAGAAGTTTCAGCAGGATTGTGAAATGGATAGGATCCTTGGGGAAATAGAGAAGGATGAGCGTGCGAAAAAAAGGATTGCTCTGACCACCGAGCTCAAGCTGAATTGAGGACTTCCAAAACCAAAACCAGAAGAAGGAAGGTGGGGTCATCCCAACGCTGGAGCTAAACAAAGATGTTAGTAAGCAGGTCATAGAGGCCAAAGACGTCGATGGAGAAGTGGAGGCCCATAATCCTTCAACGTTCTGGACAGTTTGCAGTAGCTGCAAATATCAATATGAGTATGGCAGGGTTTATGTAAATTGTCATCTCCGCTGCAGTAGATGTCGAGCAGGTTTTCTGGCTTTAGAAATTTGTCGACCACCTCCAATTGTTAAGTCATCCAGTAACTCTTCTGATCACAGCAACATCGGAGTTCAAGACACCTTGTTGATACGGGAAGTTAAGTAACTGCTAGTGGCAAGCCCTCATATCCTGGAGCGGTCTCCCCAAAGGGCCTTGGAGGAAGCTGAAAACCGGCACAGACTTGGATGGAGAGGGATCCGATGATGCATTCCATGATGAAGAAGCGGAGGCTCCCGGTGCTCTATCTTTGAGTTGGTTTAGAATGAGCAAAAAAGAGAGAGGGCGAGGGAAAAGAGGAGGGAGGGTTACATATTTCGGAAACTTTTTTGTTTTCTTGGCCAATCTAACTAACGACAACGCTCTCCTAGCAATGCCCTTTTTGTATGGTCAACTAGCAAAGCCCTTTTTTATTACACTATTAGTGGGATCACAAATACAACTACAGTATCATCAAATATCTGTCAACACAAAAATATGCCATCTTCAAGTTTTCATGTTTTTTTTAGAAATAACTTCAACTTTTCTACATGTTTAGAGTTATTGTGACTGATTAATTCATCCGAAATACACCGATCTGTGAACAGATTTCATATTTAAAATTGGGTGTATTGAGAAATATTAAGATCCTCTTAAACCCACCGTCGTGGCTTTCTTTTTTGGCGTGGGTTTTCCGACCGAGACCAATCTCCGAGAAAAAAAAAATCTGCAAAACACTGACACACAAGATGGAAAAAGAGAAAAATGAAAAGAAAAAAAGGTGGCAGATACATGAGACAATAATATTCTATTTCCTTTGCTCGCCCAAAGCAAGCTCATTTGCCTTTTTCCAGGGGTTTTACTTTCACCAACTCACTGAGTCACTCTGTCTCGCCGCGTTCTCTACGCCTTCCACAACCGATCACCATCTTCTCTGCCTCCGCCTCCTCAGGTACAAAGGAAATAACTCTCTTTCCAATGGCTTTTCTTTTCTTAAAGTCTTTTGCTTGATTCAGACCCCCCCCAAAAAAAAAGTCTTTTGCTTGATGGATGGGGACCACTCTTAGCTTGTTTACTGAGTTCCTGTTCATGGGAATTTTTGGGTTTATGAGCTCCGAGGCACAAAAGGGCTCTTCATTTTTGCGTTGAATCTGCCATTTGTGAGACTCTTGTCTTTATATTTTGGCTATGGTGGGGGGGGGGGGGGTGACCTAGCTTTCCAAGGTCAGACATTAGGAATTTTTAAATTATGCGATGCTTTATTTATTATTATTTTTTTAAATAAAAAAAGATGGATTCTTTTAATTTTATTCCCATTTTTACATGATGGGTTGATTTTGGTTTGCCTATATCCAACTTCAAATGACGGAAATTTATTGTCACCGTGTACATGATGGGTTACAACCCATTTGGGGCCAATTTTAGATTGCATAACCATCAAGTCACTTTAATCAAGGCCACAAAAGGGTTTCAAGTATTTTCCCTTATTTTAAAATAATGTCTTTCTGCTGTGTGAAAGTTCTGAGTCACTTAACTACATGTATTTGCATCCTAGCTTCTCACAATACATACTTCAATTTCCAGTTCCTTATAGATTTTTTCATAGATTACTTTTGGTGTTACCAATTGAAAAGTTGAATTACGCTTTTAGATAATGTAGCTAGTTGGTAGCTTTTTGAGATTACTACTTTCATCTGACGAGCATTTAACCTTCAGAATAATACGTATGAACTTAGTCGCTGAATGGTAAACACAACCTCTTCCTCTGAAATTCATTGTCCTTTAATGCTCTTTCTATAGGTACACGCATTCTGTCTTTGATTTCTTTGTTCATATTTATATATATCTAGTGTTTGTAGATTAGAGTACTTTAAATTGTTCTGAAAAACTTGTGTTGTCCTTCAGTGACTTGTTCCTACTTGAAAATCAAATCTGTTTATATTCCATCAGTATAATTAATTAATCTGCTTGTTTATCCAAGGAATAGCGTGATTCACGAGGAAGGCCACCAAGTGAGCTCTTTGCATTCGTAATATTGAATCTGCCATGGTGAGCTTAAGAAGAAGCAAACGCATGAGACTTTGCACCGGTAAAAGTGGCCGAAATGTGCTATATCACATATGAATAATTTTGGGCCTATTCGCACTAGTTTTAATCTGTATAAATCACCTCTCAATAGGTCTTAATCACTGACAGGAGTAATCTGATGCTTAATACACTAGGTTCTTGTTTATGCTTTAAGCTGTGTAACTTAGTGTTTAGCATGCTTATTCATATGAGTTTTATGCTGTGTAACTCACCTGTCAGTGAGTTGAGATAAATTTTCAATTTTTGTGAATAAGAATCTGATTGAATAGGTTCTTTTTTATTCTTAAGTATATTCACCAAATTGTAGGTCTTTGCAGAGAGAAGTTCTGTTCTAGCTCCACTGCCAAGGTTTTGTGACAAGGGAACTGCTCCTCAAAATTCTACCCAAACAAAACCAGATAGCGTGCATTCAATGCCTTCAAATGATGTGAATCTGCCGGAGGGGGTAAGAATGGATTACCAATCAGTTCATGTTATTGTTTCACATGCATCAGATGGACCATTCTCTTCTTTAAAGGTTTTGTCTCCTTGTTAAAGACACTTGTCAGGGCTCCTAAAGTTAAAGAAAATCATATGTAGGATGCAAACTCCCATCCTGATTTTGTCCAGAAACAGTTCAAGATTTGTAGTTATAAAACTATTTTTTTAGAGCACTTAAACAGAAATAACTGAAAAACTTTGATGAAGAAAACATTTGATATGATTCAGCGTCTGGTGCTTTGGTTAAAATTAGAAAAGAATACCTTTTTGTTTTTTTGTCATGGTTGATTCGGAAAGTAACTGCTTATGTTTCTGTACTGTGGCGCTTAGTTCCTAGTTCCTTGATATAGAAGGTTAAAGAGCAGCATGTTCCTGCTCTATTCTTTGTTATGGCTAATTAGTTCCCCCGAATTGATTAAAACAAAGCCAAAGAAAGAATCTAAAACTCTATTTTGGAAGAACCAACTTGTTTTCTCTGGCTAGTTTAGTTTGTGTGAAGTACTCAGATATGATCAAAACACAATGCATTCATGTGTAAAATAATTACTAAGAGGTTTATATGCCAAAATTATTTATTTCCAGAATGCGACTCATAGAAGGGCTTCCTCTGAGATTATCAGTGTGTTGAGAGAGCCAGCTGCAGCAGAGAGAGTTTTGCTGGGCTTACTTGGCCCTGATGATACCAGGATTATGCAGGAGTACGATGATGGTGGTTTGAGGCAAAACTTATCCCACCATGCCCTTAGTGTAAGTGATTGTCCTCAAGATTTCATTGCCTTACCATTTCTGTGTTGATCTGAATAATTTAATTTTGCTACTATGTCAATTATTTCAGGCCTGCCTCCACTTTGCCATGTGGGTCAGGGAAAATGGAGAGTCTTCCTTAGCCTCCAGGGAGCGCGATGAAGCCAGAGCTCGTGTTGCAGAGCTGGAGGAAAATGTGAGGAATGTTGAGGAGATTCTTAGGCATCAGGTCCAAGAGTACGAGTCTAAGCTGAATGGTCTGCAAAATGATGTTGATCAGCTGAGTCAGAAGGCCGAGTTGTGCGAGAGGAATTGGAAGGAGCAGAAGGCCTTGCATCAGGAGAAGGACACTCTTATGGTAGAGGTTTTGAGGCTGCGTGAGGAAGCTATCTCTGAGCTTGCCAAGGTCACTCAAAGTCATGACATGGCCAGAACACGTATCAAAATCTGACTGGTGCCCTCACTCGGAGCAGGAAGCTCTACGAGCAGGCTGAGGTTGAAGTGAAGAAGGTTCAGCAGGACTGCGAAATGGATAGGATCCTTGGGGAAATAGAGAAGGAAGAGCGTGGGGAAAAAAGGATTGCTCTGACCACCGAGCTAGAGCTGGTAGAGGACTTCCAAAACCAAAACCAGAAGATGGAAGGTGGGATCATGCCAACACCGGAGCTAAACAAAGATGTTAGCAAGCAAGTGGAAGAAGCTGAAGACATTGATGAACTGGTGGACGTTGACTACTTTCTGAGCCTTTTGCAATCACTGTAAAATTCATTATGAGTGTTACAGGGTTGATGGTGCTCGTTTCTCCTGCCAAAGAGAGAGACAACTACATTATTATCAAATATATATCAAAGATCAACTAGCAAAGCCCTTTTTGATTACGCTAATAGTGGGATCTGCACATATACAACTACATTATTATCAAATATATATCAATGATCATGTTTAGAGTTATATTTCAACACAAAAAATTGCCATCTTTATTTGTTCATGTTTAGAGTTATATTTCAAGCTTGTTTGTGGATATTGAAGTACTTATTCATTTCCCAAGTGTTGTCACCGATTTAACGGTTTAGATCAAAACTCTTCATCAAACATTTTTTTTAAAATGATATCTTAATCAAAACTTTCAAAACTTTAATTGCTTTTATTAATGGTTCGTTTATATATTTTGTGGGTGTTTTTAAGACGCCAACGTCCATCCCTTGTTCCGAGTCTGCCGTAACCTCATACAATCGCAAAGCAATGACACACAAAATGGGAAATAAAAAGAAAAGGTGGTAAATGCATGCGAGACATAGTACACATATGGGTCGTTTGGTTAGTCTCTTTGCTTGCTAACCTCTTGAATCACAATCTCTTTGCCTTTCCCTCTGCCTTTGCATTGCCTTTCTCAAGGGTTTTAAGAACTGCCTTTGATTCTCTGCCTCCGGTGCTCAGGTACAAAAAAAGAAAGAAAAAAAATAGTACTTTCTCTTCCCAGTGGCTTCTTGTGTCTTTTGTTCTTAATGGGCTGTTGATTCATGGCTTGTTCACTGAGTTTCCGGTCATGGGTGTTTTGCATTTTTTAGCTTTAAGTCACAGAAGAGTTCTTCTTTGTTGTTGGCTTGGTGGGTTTCTCTTGATTCTGTGCTCTGGCTTGTCGAAGACTGTTTTTTAAATCTTGTGTACTGGGTTTTGCTTTTAGTATTTTACCATTTACCAGTAACTCCCTGCAAGAGAGCTGGTACGTTGGTGGGGTTGACTGAACTTTCCAAGGTCAGAAATTTAGGATTTTTATCAATCGAGGTGCTTTTCTTTGGGTCCCATTTTTGTATGAACGAGGATAATAAGCCCAAGTGAGAGAATCATGTTGAAGTCATTTAAAGAAGGTTTTGCTTACGCCTACTGTTTTCGCTGTGTTCTGTTTCCTTAGTCGCTTCAATCACACAAGCAAGGTTTTTAAGCTACTATTTGGTGAAGTTACTGTTTTCGTTTCCTTATTTTCTTTTTTCCGTTAATATATTCCTGCTGTTATCAGAGTTCTGAGGTAGTTAGCAAAGCAGCTTCTCATAATCATAAGTCATAAACCATCTCTAATTGCCAATTTCGTATAGCTCTTATTGGGAATGGGTTAATATTATGTGGTACCAATTGAAACAGAAATACACTTTTTGATAATGTGACTAATTGGTGGTCTTATCCTGCCCTGCCCTAATAGACATTAGTATAATTAGTCTGAGTTGTGCTGATATTGTTAAGTCGTTCCCACTTGAAAATATGTATTTGCATCATTATAAATAGTCTGCTTGTTTATCCAAGGAATAACATGATTCATGAGGAAGGCCACCAAGTGAGCTCTCTTCAGCCATGGTAAGCGTAAGAAGAAGCAAACGCTTGAGACTACATGCCGGTAAAAGTTCCAAAATGTGCTATATCACATATGAATAAGTGTGGGCCTATTCATATTAGTTTTAAGCTGTATAAATCACCTCTCAATGATTCTTAATCACCGACAGGAGTTTTCTGATGCTTAATACACTAGGTTGATGTTTATGGTTTAAGCTATGTAACTTAATGTTTAGCAAGCTTATTCATACGAGTTTTCTGCTGTGTAACTCACCCGTCAGTGAGTTGAGATAAATTTTCAATTTTGGTGAATACGAATCTGATGGAATTTTTATTCTTAAGTATATTCACCAAATCGTAGTTGTTTGCAGAGAGAAGTTGTGTTCTAGCTCCACTGCTAAGGTTTTGTGACAAGGGAACTGCTCCTCAAAATTCTACCCAAACAAAACCTGATAGTGTGCATCCAATGCCTTCAATTGATGTAAATCTCCCAGATGGGGTAAGAATGGATTTCCAATCAGTCCATATTATTGTATCATATGCATCAAATGGATCACTCTGTTCTTTAAAGGTTTTGTCTACTTGTTAAAGACATCAGGGTTCCCAAAGTTAAAGAAAATCATCTGTAGGATGATAACTCCAATCCTTATTTTGTCCTGAAACAGTTCAAGATTTGTAGTTGTATAACTAATTTTTTTAGGGCATTTATACGAAAAGAACTGAAAAACCTTGATGAGGAAAAAATTGGATATGATTCATCTTCTGGTGCTTTGGTTAAAATTAGAAAAGAATACCTTTTTCATGGTTGGTTCTGAAAGTAACTGCTTATGTTCCTGTATGATGGCGCTTAGTTCCTAGTTCCTTGGTATAGAAGATTTGAGTGCACCATGTTCCGGCTCTATTCGTTGTTATGCCTAATTAGTTCATCCCAATTAAATAAAACAAAGCAGAAGAAAGAAATCTAAAACTCTAGTTTGGAAGAACCAACTTGCTTTCTGTGGCTAGTTTAGTTTGTGTGAAGTACTCAGATACGATCAAAACACAATGTATCAACGTGCAAAATAACTGATAAGAGGTGTCTGTACCAAAATCTATTATTTCCAGAATGCGACTGATACAAGGGATTCCCCTGAGATGATCAGCATGTTGAGAGAGCCAGCTGCTGCAGAGAAAGTTTTGCTAGGCTTACTTGGCCCTGATGATACCAAGATTATGCAGGAGTATGATGACGGTGGTTTGAGGCAAAACTTATCCTACCATGCCCTTGCTGTAAGTGATTGTCCTCAAGATTTCATTGCCTTAACATTTCTGTGTTGATCTGAATAATATAATTTTGCTACTATGTCGATTATTTCAGGCCTGCCTCCACTTTGCCATGTGGGTACGGGAAAATGGAGAGTCTTCCTTAGCCTCCAGGGAGCGCGATGAAGCCAGAGCTCGTGTTGCAGAGCTGGAGGAAAAAGTTAGAAATGTTGAGGAGATAATGAAGCATCAGGTCCAAGAATACGAGTCTAAGCTGAATGGCCTGCAAAATGATGTTGATCAGCTGAGGCAGAAGGCTGAGTTCTGCGAGATGAAATGGAAGGAGCAGTTGGCGTTGCATCAGGAGAAGTCCACTCGTTTGGAAGAGGTTCTGAGGCAGCTTGTGGAAGCTAACTCCAACCTTGCCAAGGATACTCAAAGTCTTGACGTGGCCAGAACACGTATCGAAAAGTTGACTGGTGCCCTCACTCGGACCAGGAAGCTCTACAAGCAGGCTGAGGTTGAAGTGAAAAAAGTTCAGCAGGACTGCGAAATGGATAGGATCCTTGGGGAAATAGAGAAGGAAGAGCGTGTGAAAAAAAGGATTGCTCTGACCACCGAGCTAGAGCTGGTAGAGGACTTCCAAAACCAAAACCAGAAGGAAGGTAGGAGCATGCCAACGCTGGAGCTAAACAAAGATGTTAGCAAGCAGGTGAATGAGGCCAAAAACGTTGATGGAGAAGTGGAGGCCCAGCATCCTTCGACTTTCTGCCATTGCTGCAACGTTCGTTATAAGTTTAGCAGGGTTCATGTAAATCGTCTTCTCTGCTGCCAGGCATGTCCAGCGGCCTTTGTAGCCACAGAAGAAGTCTCCACCATCTACAGAAGAAGACACCTTGTTGATACTGAAAGTCAAGTAACTGCTAGTGGCAGGAAGCCCCAAGATCATGGAATGGTCTCCCTAAAAGGCCCCGGAGGAAGCTGAAGACCCAAACGGATATGGATGGAGAGAAATCCGAAGATGCATTGCAGAATGAAGAAAGGGGGTGGTTAAGAAAATACATATTTCGTAAACTTTTTGTTTTCTTGGCCTATCTAACGAACGGTGACCCTTTTTGTATGGTCAACTATCAAAGCTTTTTTGATTGCACTAATAGTGGGATCTGCACAGATACCAACTGCAGTATTATCATATCAATGATTCCAATCATTTACATCAAACCTCTTTCAACACAGAAATATGTCATCTTTAACTTTTCATGTTTATAGTTATATTTTAAGCTTGTTTGTGGATATTGAAGAACTTATATTCATTTCCCACATTTCGTCACCGATTAAACGGTGTAGATCAGAATTCTTAATTAACAAAAATGCTAGGTTTACCACATTTTTCATACCACAATTGTACCACCTCTCTAATAGAGGTGGGGCCCATTGTATTGGTGGGCTCCACCTCTATTAGATAGGTGGTACAATTGTGTTATGAAAAATGTGATAAGCCTAGCATTACTCATTAATTAATCAAACATTTTAAGAAGAATAATGCTACTCTTACCACATTTGTATACCATTTCCCTATACCATCTTATGTGGCAGCTGCAGTGGACAACCACATCAATTAAAATCATTTAATATTTTCTTTTCTTTTATGATTTATTACGGTATTTGTTTTTCTAATTGTCTTAATTAAAATACACTTTATTGATTTAATTGATGTGACATATAATATGGACATGCCACATCATGTGGTATAAAAATGTGGAATAAAAAATGTGGTAAGTATAGCATTACTGTTTTTAAAAAAACTGTAGTGGGTTTGATTAATGATTAATGGTTTATTTATTTATTTTGTTTGTATTTTAAAACGCCACCGTATTGAGTGTGCTGACCGTAATCTCCTACAACCTGAAAGTACACACAAAATGGGAAACAAAAAGAAAATGTGGTAAATGCATGCGAGACATAGTACACATCTAGTCTCTTTTCACCTTTTCTTGAATCTCAATCTCTTTGCCTTTGCCTTTGCTTTGCATTTGCATTTCTCAAGGGTTTTAAAAGAACTGCCACTGATTCTCTGCCTCGAGTGCTCAGGTACAAAAAAACGAGTACTTTCTATTCCCAATGGCTTCTTGTGTCTTTTGTCATTAATGGGGCTGCTGATTCATGGCTTGTTCACTGAGTTTCCAGTCATGGACTCATGGGTATTTTGCATTTTTTTTAGCTTTAAGGCACAGAAGGTTCTTCTTTGTTGTTGGCTTGGTGTGTTTCTCTTGATTTTGTGTACTGGATTTTGCTTTAGCTCCTGCAAGAGAGCTGGTACGTTCGGTGGGGTTGACTGAACTTTCCAAGGTCAGAAATTTAGGATTTTTATCAATCGAGGTGCTTTTCTTGGGTTCGTTTAATTCAAATCCCATTTTTGTATGAACGAAGATAGTAAACCCATTTTCCAAGGTGAGAGATATTCATGTTCAAGTCATTTAAAGAAGAATTTTGCTTGCGCCTACTGTTTTCTCTGTGTTCTGTTTCCCTTTGGTCTGTTTTAGCTTCTGTTGTAAGCACCAACAACATTTTCTTTATCCTGCTCATAATAATAGACATTAGTATTATTAATTTGAGTTGTTGCGCTAATAAACATGTGTAATTAATCTCCTTGTTTTATCAAAGGAATAACGAGATAGATCAGAAAGGCCACCAAGTGAGCTCTCTGCATCGAGTTTGGAATCAACAATGGTGAGCTTAAGAAGACACACACACTTCAGACTATGCGCTGGTAAAAATGTGTTGAAATGTGATATACAAGATATGACTAATTGCCTTAACTTGTTGCATACACCTGTATTGTTGCACTGCTCTTAGAATTTTTGGCATGCGTATTCATACGAGTTTTAAGTTGGGCAATTATAACTTTTCAGTGCTTTGAGATGAATTTTATGTTTTGGTAACTAAGAATCTGATTTAAATCTGTTCATTCTTAAATGAAAATGGTCACCAAATTATAAGTCTTTGCAGGAAGAACATCACTTCCTAGGTTTTGTGACATCAGAACTGCCCTGACTTCTAGCCATGCAAAACCAAAGAGTGTGCATCGGATGCGGTCAAATGGTTCAAATGATGTAAATCAGCCAGAGAGGGTAAGAATGGATTACCAAACAGTCCATATTATTCTATCACTTGCATCAGATGTACCTCTGTTTTCTTTGAAGGTTTTACTAACATGTTGAGGCACTGATCTGATGTAGGATGATAACACTTCAAGATCAAGAGTTCTTGTTTATATTTTGAGAACACTTCTATGACAATGACTTAGAAACCTTAAATAAGGAAAACTTTGATGTGATTATATTCTGGTGTGTAAATGTCTTGTAAAATTCAAGTGCATAAGATTCAATGCTTGATTAATATGTCTTGAGTTCTAGATTCCTTTGTCTTATAACTAATAACATGTGTATATTCCAACTGTATAATTTCCAGAATGCGACTGCTATAGGGGCTTCTGCGAAGGTTTTCACCGATGCAGTGCTGGCTTTGCCTGCTTTTGCAAATGTGGGAAGTGAGTCAGGACACTCTCGTATACCGAGGCAGCGCTTTGAGATTGATGGGAGTTCTCTGGGGGCTTATATACCTCAAAGCAACCAAGTTATACCCTTGCAGAGCCAAGTAAAAGACCAAGAATCTTACACCCTTCAGCTTGACAACAAGATAGAGAACTTGCAAACCATGGTCAGCAAGCTAGAGGAGAACACACAGCAAACCGGTGAGCTGGACACTGCAAAGGTTGAACTTGAGAAGCAGCAAGCAGACTTGGAGATGCTTGAGTTTCACAAATTACTTTTGCAAATGGTTGAGAAGCTGTGCGGGAATGTAGAGCTCATGCATCAAGTAGACTTAGTGATGGGTGAGCCTAACCAAATGCAGCTGAGGGAGATTTTGCAAAAGGTTGAGAAGCTGTGTGAGGATCTCAGAAGCTTCGCTTCAGCCGGTGTTGTGGAGGATTCTGCGGCTCCAACAGACTGAGAAGACAGAGAGATTGACTGATAACTAAAGGCTAGTTTAGATTAACAGAAATAGAGAGGAAAGTAAACATATTTTTGGGAGCTTTTTCTTTGGTATATATCCAACCCACCCTCTTCAAGCAAAGCCCTGTGGGATTGCACATATACAACTCAAGTGCTATTAGTACAAATTATGAAATTAACTACTACTTATCAATGCAGATAGTTATTCATTTGATCATGATTTTTCTTTTTCAAAAATCTCATAATGGTTAAGTATATGACAATTTAAAGAACTAAAAACGTGTAAATTTTCCTACATCTCTCTAAAGCTATGGGCATACAGCATAGGGGCTTATTAAGCTTCCGTGACAAGAATATTTATTCACATATCTACAAGAGTTCGACTCTCGACCTCTTTTCCCTTGAATAAATAGGTAATTAACAAATTTTTGTCCAAACACTAACAAAGTACATTAGGTTATAATACAATGCTATAGCAAAGTAGATTAGGAAAGAAAATATAAATGCTCAATAATGTCATTTGGATAAATGAATTCTAGTCCTCTTTTTAATCCTCTGGTTGGGTTTGGAATATTTAGACGAAGAACTCTACGCATTAACATTCGAATTTACCAAATTATCATCAGTGTGATTTTCAGTCACAAGACCAATAGTGTTACTAATCTTTATTGAGTTAAATTTTTGTCTCTTTCCCTTTTTCTTTTTTTTTGTGGGTTTCGCCCTTTTTACTGAGCTAAATTCCGTTGGCTTTGGTCGGTGATTTTTGTCTCTAATATAAAAACAAAAAGAGTTTCTTTTGGATAATCACACCAATTAAAAAGGGGAAGCGAGGATGGCAAAACGCTAAACTTTATATCTCCCACAAAAATTAATTCATATCCCCAAACAACACAACCCTAATTCCCAAGTAAAGGCCGAAACCTTAAAGATGAATTCGGAGGTACTTATGAAGATGGTAGCACCAGAGAAATACTTGCAGATGGCAGACTTGTTTAGTCGCATGATTTTTTACCTGAGGTTGCTTGGTCTGCACAAGAAACCATCCACTTTTCGCAGTATTTGTGCCCTAGTGGAATTCATGGGCCATAAAAAAAAGTTCACCTGCAGGCATCTGGCTCAGATAAAATTTTTACTGCCCGAAGCCATACAGATAGATGCAGTTTATGTGCAGGACATTAAAACTGGGCGCATGAAACCAGACATAAACATCACCTTGCTGTTCCACGACGTTTTTGTTCTTGTACAAGGTGGTGGTCAACCGTCCGATCAATTTGAAGCTCTGCGCCAGCTTTTTGTGTCTAGGCTTGTTCAGTTTTTGTCTGAGAATGCTGAGGCTTGTGATGTTCCGGAGGCTGTGTTGCCTCAGCCTTTTGGCCATAATGGGCAAGAAACTCACGCTGCAACCGCAATTGAAACGGAGATGTTGGCGGAGCAAGTCCCCGTCCATATTCATCAAGATTTCTTGAACCTCAAGATACAGGACGACCTTCAGCAATTTCATTAGGTCTTAGAGTTGTTTTGAGATTTTTTTTAGATTGTTTGTCCTTTCAATTTTTATGATCTTGTTCTTTCAATTCGAGATTGTTTGTTGACGTTAGGATGATTTTGCTCATTGCTTCGTTGGGCAAAAAGAAACTACTAGCTCTAGGTCTAAAATTCTTTTTCCTTGCAAAGGACTTGTAACAGAAGAGGTGATGATTTCAAATCTCTCTCCCATTATCGTTTGTATCAACAACAAAAAATTCTTCGAATGTTGAAACGAAAACCACAATTTTTTCAGTTGTACTACACCCGGAAACCTTCCAAGCAATTGCATAAGAGCTTGATTGTGCACAATCGAGTGGGAGTGAAAATCGAACTCCTCCCAAGGCAATCCAACTAGCTAGGTTGTAGTTGTGCTAGTTTATTGCAATCTGGTGAAAATCCACAACACACTAACCCCAGTGGAAAACTCCGGTAATTTTTATAGATCACGCGTGTAATGATGCAATTACCAGATAATTAGTGTAGGACTTTACACAATTATGCATCAAAGGCAAAATATGCCGGGGAGTGAAAAGGTCTCGCTTTATAAGCATTGCAGTTGGTCAAAATCACCACGCCTCATACTTAAGGCTATTTGCAGGATGAGAATACTTCATGTTTCATTCCAAAAGGAACTACATTTCCAAACATACTAAATCATGATTCGGATGGTGAAAAGAACGTTTTAACTATAAATGTTTTGTTTGAAAAGATACAGATATGCCATGACAGAGCAAAAAGCTTGTCTTAAACAAAATACTGATCATATTAAGAGCCTAGAATTCTAAACCGATCCATTGCTTATCATGCCAAGATTCTTTCACTCATTCATTACGGGCTTGTTCTCACTGGCCTTCGGCCTATGTTCCTTGGGCTTCTGCTCTTCCAACTTCCTGAAGTGTCCAACAAAAATACAACCATATGTCAGGAAGAACCTCATGAAAACAAGACCAATTTCACAATACAAGAAAGAAACAAAGGAAAAATAAACAAAGACCACGCACTATATAAAAGGGCAGAATCCCATATGCAAGACCATACACTATATAAACCCTAAAAGGGTACTAACAGAGCAGAACACCATATGCAATTCGACATGTAAAAGTTCGAAGTAAGCAGCACTTCAATAGAAAAAGGGACACAAAATTACTAAACAAAAGAGGCGCTGCGTCACTTAAACTCTTAATTAAACCCTTCATAAACAGGCCTCAAGAAGTTAACCGTTTTTACTTGGTATTAGAGATTATACATTTCCCACAATGGGGATCCCATTAAACCAACTACGACTGCATAGTAAAGTTTTAAAGTATTTGCAGATGATAATACAGGACATCTCTAATGACGTAAAATTAGTTATATACTAAAGCAACAAATAATGAACTATAATTTATCGGGCTCACATAATAGTTGAAAAGAACAAAGCAGAACAAGCTGCACCTTAGCATATTATTAGTACAAGTGTGCGACCAAACACAAAATATGCATACATTCAAAAAGTGTTTCCCTGTTTTAGAATCAAAACCAAGAATTTTTACCAAAATGACAAGTTCAGTTAACAATGCATATGCTAAAGTCTGAAAAAAGCAGCACTTAAATCAACTCATCTTCCACAGCTATAATAAAAAGTCAGCTTTTCATGATTCAATACAGGATTGAAAAAACCATTCTTGCTCAAACTCAGCTCGACCAGGCCAAAATACACACAAGCGATAGAAATGCATAAAAAATTGAGTCAAATTCTTATCCATAGGTTTGATTGTTTGAAAGCATAACTTATAAACCACCGATTGAAATCATTTCCTCGCTTTCACGTCGACAAAGTTAGAAGACCAAAATTTCCACAATCAGAAATATCTCAGCAAAGGTTCGAAACAAAAAGCCCCAATTTCACACGAAATAAACAAGAGAAAAAAAAACCCACAAAACCTAAACAAACGGCTATTACAGTACAGGGGTTTGCGTGTGGTGATAGAGATAACAGAGAGAAGGGGATTGAAGAAAAGGGAAATACCTCTTATCGGAGGAGCCTCCCTTCTGGCTGAGGAAGGATCGGAAGAGGGGTGAGTTGACGTCGTAGATCATCGTTCCGATTACTTTGGTTTGCTGATTGTGCTCTGACGATTTAGAAAACCCTAACCCTAGTTCGCTCTGAGTCGTTTGGCTTCCGCAACCTTCGGTTAAAATGCGATATGGCGCGCTTTTATATAGGAGAAGGCGGTGACCGGGTTTTTCTAATCGGGTACCCGCTTCAACATCATATTATTATTGGGCTTATGGTCTGATGCGAAAATTCAAGCCCAACTGGGTGCTCTGAAATCATTTTTTCTTTTCACAGAAAATAAAATTCTTTTAAAGGAAAATTTCTTCAGACATTTTTGTATAGAGTTGGCCCATGCAGCTGGCGTATCGAAGATCACTCATTAACGCCCTATTTAATACTTTGGTGGACGATGATGGTGATAGAGATAACGTAAAAAGATGATTTCATTTGTTTACTCATTCACAATAATAATATTATATTAAGCCCAACTACTATTAATAAATAAATAAAAACCCAATTATTTACTCTAAAACTAACAAAAATGGAAACTTAATAAGGGATCTTTTTTTATAAAGGCTTTTTCTAAAGTTAAACCAGTTGAATAGGTTAACCAAGTGACATATACCTTAGCCAAAAACAAAAAAACCTAGCAGCATATAAAGAAATCTGCTCTACTCAACACAAGAAAAAAAAACAAGCAGTTTATTATTGAATATCTACTGCAAGAGGAATCGATCTTCGAGGAAGAACAAGAAGGTAAAAACCCACAAGACTATTGCTTATACTTTCTATTGAAAAATACATGGTAGAATAACTTGATTATGCAAAGTTAATTGATACTTTGGCATCGAAAAATGCAAGACGAGTGATGTTTTGATGCATTTTATAAAGTTGTTATGTGAATTACATTTTGTTTATTTATGTTTAGGTTACAATTATGACTTTGAGTTCATATAATTTTTTTAACTTATCAAAATATATATATATACACACACACATAAAGAGTAGAAGGCCACATTTTGGTAGTTCGCCTAGGGCCTCTAAAACCTTAGGACTACTACTACTAAAATGTGATGCGGATTCAAAATTGAGATCTCTAATATGCAAATCAATGTTATTTTTCATTGAACTAGACCTCGATGACTTAATAATTAAGATATTGCCATATCATATTAGGCTTTACTCTATAAAATGTGAAAGTGACAATAAGGAAGATTATAAAAAATAAAAATAACAAATGTTAAAGTAGAATTATTGGAGTGGAGGAGGAGAGTATGGACCATGGACTTTAAATGAGGCAAACGGGCCATAACATGCTTGATTGGGAGCGCACTAGACTTCCAAACGTGCAAATTACGGTGATAACCCTTTGGTTGTCTTTCTTTGACATTGTCAGCTTTAAATTCTTTGTCGAGGAGATTTTTCTTTTTCTTTTTTCCTCTAAAATCGACATGAGATGGTAAGATACAATTCATCATCATATATGATTGATGGCCAGTGGCAAACTTTATCTTGCCAGTAAATCCAGCTTCTCCAACTTAGATTTCAAATGCAAATTTTGAATTTTGTGATATATGTGATAATTTGATACTTTTGACATTAAATTTTACGGGATGTCAATTACATTGTACTTGTTGCCTCCAAATCCATGATGTACGACTTGGTTTAGTGTGAATTTATCCCTCCAACTTCTGTCATTTAATGACCACCTAAATTTGGCATATATACTGGAGGCACTGAAGTGCCAAAGCCACCTTAGTGGGAGAAAACATGTATATGGAAAACCTTAATTAAGACCTTTAATTGCCTTCTCACATATTATGTAATGTCATTTAATTCATGAGGTATCTCCCTCAACGTAGTATTTTAGAGCATCTTCAAGGGAGATGTCAAATGCAAAATATAAAATTTGAATTTGATGGCTTATGTGGCAATTTGGCACTTTGAAAAAAGATTTAACTCCATCTCCAAAGCCAAACATCATATTATTTTATTATATTTTTAAAAGCAAATGAGACCCATATGATGCATAAAGTTTAAAAATAAAATAAACGATAGAGGGGTCTAAAAAAAATATTTGACATTAAGTTTTTTTATATGTTATTTTTGACATATCTTTTCGAGCCTTTAAATCCATGTAGAATTTAACTACTCGGTTGGAGCAACTTTAATCTTCAATTTTTATCATTTAATGTTCATGTAGCAATATAACATATCGGTTGGAAATGTTCTTATATCACCTAATATGACATATCGTTTAGAGATTATATCTATAATTATTCAAATCACATTATTAATTGCTCGACTTCTTCTAATAGATATGTTAACGAGGTACGCATATAATTGCTAGCTCCATGTATAGCTCCCAGTAGAAACAAATGTTGGCAGAACTTTATGATCATCACATCATCAAAGAATCTGACTACTGATCTTTTTATGCTAAAAACATACGTATGATTTGACTAGACTCCTTGCTACACCGGACGGCCAATTTGTGGTTATCATAGTATATGTGGTATATGAATTCATCCGTACGAGATAAAGTGGGCCCACATGACGGAAGGGACCAAAGTTGACCACCTGGGCATCTAGAGACAAACCAAATTCCGAAGATGCTATTCAACTCAGCTGTTTCTCTAACCTTACTGCATTTTGGGATATATTAAATTCTGTTTTATTTTGTTTGGCCTCGATTTTATACTTAAGTAGCACCTATGTAGTTAGCATTGAGAGCATCTACAATAATGCTCTCTATTTCTTAGCTAAAATTTAGCTAAAAATTTAAGAAAACTATTTTAGGAGCTCTCTAAAAAATTTCAACTCCAACCATACTCCCTAATTTGGAGAGTCATAAATGCTATAACTTTTTTTTGATTGGTCCATCTCTATTAAAATAAAAAATAAAAATAGTTAGCATTAAATAAAGGTTTGAAATATTCATTAAATAAAGCAGTATTAAATTATAGGGAGTCACTATGAGTCATTTCTCTCTCCTTATATTTAGGAGCTCTTACAGGACTCCCTATTTTAGGAGGTAGATAGGGAGCGTGGTTGGAGTTGTATTTTTATGATTCCTCTCTAAAATTTGTCTAATGAGGTGGTTTAGGAAGCCCATTGTAGATGCTCTAAAGCTCCTTTTGTTAATTAGGTCAAAGTTAGTCGAAATGTTGACGTGGCAAGTACGGATTGGACGAGATTAATATTTTGTCTAACTTAATTGACCAAGTCAATGAAAGGGGTTTGATTGCAAAAGTTCTTACCTACAAAGGCATAATTGTCATAATCAAAATTCATGAATTATAATAAAAAATACGTGGATGATAAGGCTCTTGTGAATCTCACAATATTATGATTTTGTTTTTCAAGTGACATTTGGAAGGGAGGATTCAAACACAGAACCTCAAGTATATAAGTAATTACTCTTAACAATTGAACTATAAATTCTCTACTATAGTACTGTGAATTTACCTTATAAACAAATTATAGTTATAAAAAAAAAACTACCATGTGATTCATGGTAACCGGCTGCATCGGTCTAGTAACCGAGTGAGTTGAGTTATAAAGCATTTTAACAAATTGTCATGGTTGACAGTGTATTAAAATCCTAGATGTTAAATAAGACACATGTAGATCAAGTACTTAAGAACAATTATTTATGTACTCAAAGTCCTGTATTTGAATTCCCACTCTTTTAATATTGCTTATATACAAAATCCGAAACAATAAATTTTGAGTTCAAAATCACAATCAATTCCTAGGAACCAAGGCAAAGTGTAATATACTAATAATATGTTCGTTTGATTAGACAGGTTAAGTACTGATTAGGGTAATGATTAGGCAGAAAAATAACTTTTTTGCTTTTTGAAAAAGTTTTGGTTTTTGGCAAAAATCAACCCCAAAACCCAAAGGCTTGGGGGTGGTGTGGTTGGCGAGACATTATCTTCTTTCTTATATGGCAGGCCGTCCATCCAATCACCGTTTCGTCGGTGCCCCTCGCTCGCTACCAACCAACCCACGCTAATAATAATTTCTCTAACCCACCCTTGATATTTGTTTAATGACTGACTTATCCCTCTCCCCTCATACTATTGTGTTATCTCATGTGCACGGCAGTGAGGATTTTCTATTGGGATGACTACATTGCCCTTTTTGTTTCTTTCTGCAAATTCATAATCTCAATCATGTTAATGTTATGTTGCATAAGATTGTAGGTTGGGTTGTACTTGTATCTTGTTTGATTGTTCATTGGTAATGAAATAGGTAATTGGGTACGTAGGTTTTATCTGAAATAGCAGCAACTTTAACTAATTTCTTTCTTGTTTTATGTTAGTAAACACGTTATCGTTGTCGCCTGAAATGGTAAACTCAATCACTTGTCACCTTTCACCTCTAACCTTGTTGTATCTCCAATTGTCTTATACCAAAAAAGAAAAATATCGAAAAGAAAAAAAAAGGGAAGACATTCATTGTGGTTGAAAGTAAAATAGGAAGGTTTTGAATTAATGAAAAAACATTGATTCTCACTTTATTATCCACCACATGGGTTTTAGCAATCTTTTGAACAAGTACTTGCCCAAAAGAAAAAAACTTTTGGAACAAAAAACCTTGTTAAGCACATGATAATTGGACTTGAAGCTGAGTATTTATCTCTATGAGCGGAAACAACAAGAGACAATTTTATGAACCAAAAACAGAAATTATTCAGGGGTATTTTGGTCAACTTATAGACAATGGCACCTATTGGCTAAGGCAAAAGGGGTAATACCGAAATTTCAACCAAATAGCTAAAGTACACACAACACAAGTATACGTTCTGCTTTCTACTATTCATACCCTTCTCTATCTAAAAGACCTGTCTCTCTAGTCACACCTAAATACCACCACCAGTCCACCACCACCCTCTTCTTAATAATACAAAAGCAAAATTAAATGGGAAATAAAAACAAAAGGTGGTAGATGCATGAGACACAAATACACACAACTCACTCTCTCTCTCTCTCTCTCTCTCTCTCTCTTCGCTCACCACCTTCCCTTCCTTATAAATCCCAATATTTTTTGCCTTTGCCAGGGATTTTAATTAATTAACACCTGCCTCTAATTCTCCGCGGCCTCTGTGCTCTGTGCTCCAACAACCGCCACCTTTTCTGCCTCCTCAGGTACAAAGAAACTGACTTTCTTTGCCCAATGGCTTTGTTTTGTCTCTTTTCTTGATGGGTTGTTTTGTTTATTCATGGCTTGTTGACTGAGTTTGTGGTCATGGGCATTTTGGGTTGACGAGGTTGGAGCCGCAGAAGGGTTCTTCTTCATTGTGGGGTTTGTGGGTTGGTCCTGATTTTCTGTGTTGTGGCTTGTGTGAGAGTGTATTTGGTGTTTTCTTTGAATTTTGGCTGTTGGGTTTTGTTTTTGCTAATATCCCCTTCCGTGAAAGGTGGTAGGTTGGTGGGTTGACTTAGCTTTCTAAGGTCAGACATTAGGAATTTTTATCAATTTAGGTTCTTTTCTTGGATTCTAATCCCATCTAACATGATGGATGATTTAGTTTTCTATATGCAACTTCATGATGGCTGGAAGTATTGTCACCTTGCACCCGATTCTGAACGAATGAGAGATATTGAAGTCATGTAATGGATGAATTTTGCTTGCCTCTACTGATTTCCGTTATATTCTCATTCCACTTGCGACTGTTTTAGGTTGTATAAGCACCATTAGCATTGTTTCTCTACTCACTTTAATCAAAGGCAAACACGGTTCTTTACTAACTAACAGGGGAGGTTACTCTTAATTTTGCCTTTAATCATTAATTTGTTCCTGCCATGGTGACAGGTCTGAGTCATGGTGACAGGTCTGAGTTACTCCAGTTCCTTATAGCTTCTGTTGAGATGATTTGTGGTGGTAGGGATAAAAATCGGAAATACTTTTAGACATATGACTACTTGATGATCTTTTTTCCTCAATTCCTTCTCAATTATGAATGGTATTGTAGTAGTTTCTTTGGAAGTGCAGACCTTCACTCATATTGCTTATGAATTTCGTTGATGTATGGTAAAAATAGTCTGTTCTGAAACTTTTATCCTTTAGTGTTGTTGTATGTAGTTACTGTCACTGTGTTTTGATTTCCTTGCTTATTTGTGTTTCTAGCGCTTGTATAATTTAATAAATATATAATTTTTTGTAACATTATGATTGTTACGTCATTCCCGTTTGAAATTCAAAAATATATACATATATTTACGTTTTATTATAATAGTTCTGCTTGATTTATCCCAGGAATAGGTGGTACATGAGAAAGGCCATCAAGTGAGTGTTGTGCTTCAATAATTAAGTTGAAATAAACCATGGTGAGCTTAAGAAGACGCAGACTCTTGGGGCTATGCTCTGGTAATAATCAGTTGAATTGTGCTATACAATATATGATGATTTCTTTTGTTGAATAGCCTATATTCTTCTTCATATTTTATTTATAAAAAAATCCTGTATCCTTCTTCTGCTCTTAGTAATTAGCTTGTTTATCCATTTTGAGTTTTTAAGTTGTGTTATTGTAACCTGTCAGCGCTTTGAGATAGATTTGCAGTTTGATGAGTAAGAATCTAATTCAGTAGGTTCTTTGCTTATGCTTAAATGACACCAAATTCTTGGTCTTTGCAGGGGTAAGTCCTGTTCTAGATCCACTTCCTAGACTTTGTGACAATGGAACTGTTCCTCAAAATTTTACTTGGACAAATCCTGTCAGTGTGCATCCCATGCCTTCAAATGATGCAAATCAGCCAGATGGGGTAAGAATGGATTATCAGTCAGTCCATATTACATGCATCAGATGGGCCACTTGTTTTCTTCAAAGGTTTTATTAGTGTGTTCAAGACACTTGTCAGGCAGGATTCCTAAGTTTTTAAATTTATATACGTATGGCAAGAGAATATTCCATATATATATATATATATATATCTATCTATTTTAGAAAGAAAAATGTGTATGCTGCTGCGTGTCTTGATAGTGTAATGTTGCTGTTTCATATGAAAGTAAGCTGAGAATGGGGAACCTGTGTCAAAAGGTAAGCTGATGTGGCAAACCATTTGAGATGTTAGTGCCCCCAGACCTTGTTTTGTGGCCAAGTATGCTCTTAATTCCTAGTTTCTTGATCTAGAAGGTTATACAGCAGCATGTTCTTGTACAAATATTTATTTTGAAGGATTTAATCAGCCAAAAAAAGAAAAAGTAAAACCATAAGTACGAAACCGAAAACTCTATTTTGGAAGAACCCACTAGAGATTCTATATTCCTTATCAATTATTTCTTGCCTTTTCTGGTTAGTTTAACTGGCATGCCATACTCGGATATAATCCAAACTTAATTCTTCTTAACCTATTCTAAAACTCAGGTGTCTAACAGCATAAGTTTCTATGCTTTATTAATATGTAAAACAGCTCACGGTGTATATTCCAAAATGTATTATTTGCTATTCGTGTCTACTTATGTTCATTTTAGCTGATTCTTTATTTATTACCAGAATGCCAGCGTGAAAGTAGAAGCTCGGTCGCCAACTGCATCTGGTTCTAGCTTATCCAAAGAGCAGCATGATCAGCAAGTTGCAGGTTTGTTATTTAAATTAAATTTGTTCTCATTTTGTAACCCAAAAAAATTTGCTATCGTTTCTAGTGATGTATTAGATAGATTAGAGTGCTGGATGCCTTGGACACACAATGTGCGACTTCATCCTTTTGAAATCTGTATCTTTTGTCTTTACGTAATGAGGAACATCGTGGTTATTAAAAAAACGAAAATTTGCTTCTTCTTGTGGTTCTGTATTTATTTCTCGGAGGAGATGAGAGTTTTTGATTGTGCAGTTATTTTCTCCTTTTGGTATACTTTGCAGAGGTTAGAAACACCCCTCTTTTGATGTTTTTAATCATATATTTATGTACAACTTTATATATAAATACAAAGAATCTTGTATTTACCTAGGACTCCTGCACACAACATATTATTGATAATAGAAATACTACAATTAATATGTAAGTTAATCCTTTAAAAAAGGTTTGAGGTGCAATGTTGGTTTTGGAGGTTTATGCCAGTGTTTCAATTTGATATTTTCTAATACATAATATGCTATTTTCAGGGCCACCAATAAAACGCAGAAAGCGACATCGGAGAAAGCATTTCCAAAACCAAGAACCATGTCTAATGAGAGGTGTCTATTTCAAAAATATGAAGTGGCAAGCAGCTATAAAAGTTGACAAGAAACAAATCCACTTGGGCACTGTTGGTTCACAAGAAGAGGCTGCTCGTTTGTATGACAGGTACAACTGCATCTTTGTTAATATGAACAATTTATATCGGATGAGCACTATAAGGAATAGCAAGAATGTGTAGCATATACAAGGTCTTCCAGTTGTGCATAGCCCGTTGATAATGATCGTTCCCCTTCAAAGAGAACGTATACCAGTTGACATAATTTGGAGAACCACAAACCATTTACACTTCTCTTTTGTCCTCCCTGGGGAATTCTCCTTATTAGAGGTTGGTCATCATGTTGTTACAAACAGTATGAACATAGGTTCTTCTACATTCTACTTTTTGTTGCACCTTCAAATGAAACAATATTAGTCTTCATTCTTGCTTCACTGGTTTTTCCTGCCCACATTCTTCAGACAGGGTCTCCATTAGATAAGACATGCCATCCTAAATGTTCATTCCAGCCAGTTTTCTGCTAGGCGTCTTAGTGTTCTGTGTCTTAAATTTTCATCAGTATCTTCTTTTGTCTTCTAATGGTTAGCTGTGTCCTATACTCTCCCATCAGTTTTTTTCTTTTCTTTCTTTTCTGAATTTTGTTCTGCGAGTCTATACTGTATTGTGTCTGCCCTTGCCAATATGATGTAGTGGTTCATGCCACTCCCACAACATGCAAAAACATGAACACGAACATGATAAGCCAAATGGGAAAAGGGTGTAAGCGTTATGTATAAAATGCTATATTATAGCACATATGTAACTTTGTTAGTACTATTTATTTGGATTCAGGGCTGCTTTCATGTGTGGGAGGGAACCAAATTTCGAGCTTTCTGAAGAGGAGAAGCAAGAACTCAGGAAATTCAAGTGGGATGAGTTCTTGGCCATGACTCGTCATGCAATCACCAACAAAAGTAGTCTTTCCTCTTGTCTTGTCTAATGTTCCTCAGGCTTTATGTAGTTTAACTCTCTCATGGTTTGCTTTCATAAAATATTGCAGAACACAGGAGAAGGCCCGGGGTAGAGTCACACAAGAGGTCTGAGACTCCATTGGAAAATGGTGACTGGGATGACAAAGAAGAAGTAGACAGTCTCTCGGCTTCAGAAGATATGGAGCAGGATATGTTAGGCTCTTGAAGATAATGGTTCAAGGAGAATGCTTAATTTTCTATTTCTTAGCAGTTAAGTGCTAGCTGATAGGCCTCCATTTTTTAGTGTATAAAGGCCCACATTAGGGCAAATGGTACATTTTATTGTCTCTTGATAGGCAAATGCTCCCAATAATTAGTCTCAGATTAGAACCATCATTAGTCGCTAATCGCCAGTGGTCAAATAAACCCATACAAAGCGATAATTCTATTTTTCCGGTGGAAATTTGCAACCTCTTTTAAGTTGTTAATGCTTGAGAAACTTATTTCAAGAAGATCCATATCATCTGTAGATTAATTTATTTTTGATTTCTTATTAGCTGATCAATGTGATCACATCCTAAATTTGATTGAGATACTGCTATCACATAGCATAGCAATGACCCTGTGGCCCGAAGTTCAGCAATACTTCTTCTGTAGGTCACATTGGTGAAAGCACATGAATAAGAAATGTTAACTCATTTTTTTCTTCGTGTTTCTTTTCTTAAATAAGCCCATTTAGCTTCTTTAAGTTCATATTTTGCTGAAGTTTTCTTTAACAAAAACGTGGTTAATTTTAGTTAGTTGGCTTTTTAAGTGATGATTAAAAAAGTAATTTTCAAAACGAGAAAGATTTTTCATCAACTCTTCTCTCTCTTAAAAGATGTTTGTCGATATCGTATTGAAAGCGTGTCGATATTATTGTCAGATAACATGTCAATAACAAAAACGTACTAACATATTATCGGTGGTCTACATCTGACTATACGTAGACCCGCGAATCCGGTTCGACCACAAAAATTATGAACCCTCTTGATTATTAATTATATTTTTGAAAAGAAGAGAATTTATTCTTTTTGGGCCAGTGAGAAAAAGAAGAGGACTCTTCTTCTTGGGCCGGTAAGCAAACATAGGAGATTGACAAGTCCAATTTGACAATATGGATACAATCCGAAATCCCAACCCAGAAACCGACCCCATGGCCTGAAGTCCGCACCGCAACACCGCCTCCCTTAACAAAACGACTCAGAATTTTTCACGTTGAAGACTGAAGTGAACTCAGGCGAAGCTGAAAAAGAGCAAAAGCAATTTCATAGCTTTCATAATAATCATGGCTTCAGATGATCCCAAAGCTATAGAAGCAGAGCCTCCATCTTCGTCTTGGAAGGAGCGCATCGTCTTTCCCACTCTCCTCGCTGGGATTGTTGGTGGAGGAGCTGGTTTGGTCTCCAAGCATCGAAAAGTTGTGGGTCTTCCAACCAGTTGTGCAACTTATGCTGCTAATTTCGCCATTGTCACTTCTTGTTATTGCGGTAAATTTCATTGCTTTCTGTTCGAATTTCAATATCCAGCTTCAGCTTTATGTACACATTTGATTTGATTGGTTAAGGTGTGTGAAAATGCCAAATTGGGCATGTCATATGGAAAAGGAGCTGTGGAATTGTAATTGGTTTGTTTGACTTGGCAGGGGCTCGTGAATATGTGAGTGTAACTCGAAAAACTGGACCGGATGATCTGGTAAACTCTGCAATTGCCGGCTTTGGTACTGGTGCTATTCTTGGGCGTCTTCAGGGTTAGATTCCTTCAATCTCTCTCTCTCGTGCGTGTGTTTGGAAACTAGCGTGAGAAATGGGGTTTACTTTGCTGTGATCAGCTTGTGTGAACTTTCATCATATGGGATTGGAACAATGTGATAGTTAATGACTGAAATTACCTTGCCTGTCAACCTATAGACTAGTAGCTTGGACTTGTGTCATTCATTTGCAGTGGTTTGTACTGTCTATCTGATCTAACCCCAGCTAATCTCGGAGGGCAGTAATATGTTTTGGCTATTAGGAATGCGTTCTTTGTCCTGTAAAAGAATCACGAATTTAATTTTTTGGATTCTAGTAAGAAATGTGAGCTCAATTGCTGAGCTCTAAGTTATGTAGTCTTTCTTAGAGGAACTGGGGAGTTTCCTGATTCCAGTGAAATTGAGATATAGCTTAGCTGGGACTTAGTTGCTTTAGTAGAAATGATCCATCCATTGCCAGTTTTGAGCAGGACATCACTAGTTGAGAGACATGTTTCTTTACTGATTGGGCTATCTCTATTGATAGAGCACATACTCTACAGCCGCGGTATTTCTGACTCTCGAATTTTCCCTCCCAAGGCCTTAGACCTCTTTTAAACCCTACAATACGTTCATAGGATCTGGATATGCCAGCTTGCGCTCAACTCAACTAAGTCCCGGAGTCCTCAAACCACCTGGAGCCATCAACACAAGCTTCTTGGCACACAAGTTGCGTCCGTAAAATTGTGGTTGCTATTAGAAAAAGGGTTATATGTTAATTGTCTCCTTAACTGTTCACACTACTTTGAAATCCTGCCTCCTGAAAAAACGTTGTTAAATTGTTTTGCTCATTGGCATGCAGGTGGTCGAATTGGTGCCGTACGCTACTCAATCATCTTTTCTGTTGTTGGGACAACAGTGGATTATGCTACAATTAAACTAAGACCTGTCTTAAAGAGCTACAAAGAATCTATGCTTGGGAGTGACGACGGTAAGAATGCTGGTTGGCTGAAAATGCCTGAGTGGTCTCCTATCAAAGTACTCGATGAGGAAGCCCTTGCTGCAAAGCAGGCTCGTGAAAAACAGATGTATGCACAGAGGGCAGCACTTGGTAAACTTAGCAAAGAAGAGTCCTGAGATTTTGTTAGATGTATGTCGAATTCTTATATATGTCAATAATAACATTTCTGGGGCATGCTTGTTCGCATTTTTAGTTTTAATTGCCTTTCTGTTTCGCTGTTAATCACCCGTTTTAGGGATGAATTTGCAGTTTCTACTCGCATGTACTGGTGAGGTCTTTTTAAATGTCAAAAAGTCAGATAGAAATATGCAAGTTGATTATTGACTTTTGGAATCAAATTCAAAATCAAACATTAATCAAAATTCCTCATTTCTTGGCTAAGTGCTGCATTCTCTACTGTGGTGCCCTCTATTTGTTCAACCAACTCTAAAGTCTGATAGCACGAATGTTCTTGCAACTCTTGGCTCGTCCAAGGTGATGCTTATATTCTTTATAAATGATGTCGAAGGATTTTTTGGCAAATCCTTCAATGAGATTAGCTTTGCAAATTTGATTCTCTGTACCATACATTCAAGCAAATTTGTGGTTATGAAAATTTCCACACAAAAAAGAATAAGAAAAAGAAAAAAAAGAAATACCGCTACGGGTTGATGTTGCATTCTGTAGACATCAATGGAAAGAGAAAAAAAATTTGTTCCAGTGATAAAAAAGTATCGTTACCATCATGTACAAAAAAGCCATTAGCCGATATCATTGCTAATCGTTTTACATCTACCCAAGCTGGGGTCTAGAGTACTCCACAACTCACCGCAATTGTAAACTACATTGTAACAGATCAGCATCAAGGAACCTCCCTGTGATGTCTTACAATTTTATGAAAGCAGAGAGACGAGGGAAACAAATTCCAGCGTTACACGGCCCTTGGACCTCGTGTTGATGACAAAGTGTTCTGGGTATTTTCTTAGCAACATAAGCAAGCCGTACCATGGCTTCCCTTTTGACTCAGGGCCAGGCCAGTCCTCAGAAGTGAGATACCGCCGCACTCGAGTGTGATGCCAAATGCTGCTATACTGCTCGACCAACTGAACACGAGTGACATGGGAGTAAGGCAGAAATCCAGGGTTTAAACCTCATAGAATTCGCATGACAAAACCAGAATTCGGCACACACATATATACATGCAAAGCAAAAGCCTAAAAACTGCCAGTCAATGGCCATTGGGAAACAAGTGTAATTTGTACTCAGATGCATTCTACATACATAATCATTAAACAAAAGAGAGATCAATGCAGTTGCTTTCGGTAAGGAAGGAGTTGAAGATTAGAAACTAAATAAGTGTTAAATATTTTGTTCATCAGAATATGTCAAGACTAACCTCAGTATGAAGTTTCTCCATAGGCATCCATTCTCCAGGACCACAAAGATCAGAAAGCACTGTAGCAACAGATGACACAACGTCCTTTTCCTCCAAATGCAGAAGTTGCTGATTATCGGTGTCTCGATCAACCCTTGATCTTCCATCTCCCTTCTTCTCTGCAGAGATTAAAGATAAAATTATGTCAAAGAAAGAACAACAGTTACACTTTATAGGTCCAAATAAACATGCATGTACTGTTTATGATTAAAACTTTTAAAAGGGAGAAGAGAAAAATTGTCAATGCAAGTGTTCAAAATCAGGGAGGAAATATATATTTTGAGTGTCACCATGGTTCAACATCAAACAGATCAATCCTATAACTAGTGTTCATGTAATCCATGGACACATGGAACAACCTAGAAAAAAAAACACAAGCAATAATATCAGAAAGACGGCCAAAGAATCAACAGTCACAGGTGGAGCTGGAGCTAAAGAAATGGTTTTGAATCTATGGTTTGCCCTGGTTCCTCTGAAGAAACGAAAAAACACTAGTTCACAACCATTAGAGGTAAACATAAACCACAAAAATGATGAAGACAAAAACTATTCCGATAAGGAACACAATGAAATCAGAGAACAGAACCAGGAAGAAAAAAACTGAAAGCAGTAGTGCCACAAAATTCAATATGCAATAGCATAGCATCTAGGACGAGTGTTGTTCTCCATCGAGAACAAGTTCAAAAGTTTCTGAAACAATCTCCTACAGACTGTGAAACAAACAGAACAATGCAACTCAAAACCCCAATTTACGAAAACGCCAATAATTCACAGAAATTCAAGCAGAAATTGGCTGAAGTCCAGACTGAACTTAACATGTGATGGAAAACGCTTGACAATATCATGATTCATATGATTCAAAAAACACGACTTCACATTACAATTGCTATAATCCACAATAAGTCCATCGATTTATCAAACTCTAGAGCAAGAGAAAGAAGCAAAAACAAAAAAAAAAAAAAAAAAAAAAAACCCAAAGCTCCGGCCTTGCCTGACCCAGAACCCGACCCACCACCATACGCAAAACCCTCATACCCTTCTCTCCTCATCTTCTTCCCACTCCCACTCCCACCACCGCCACCACCACCACCACCACCACCAACATCCTCCTCTTCCTCATACTCCTCCTCATAAAACTCCCTCCCCCTCCCCTTCTTCACAATCGGCCCGGTCCCCGAACCCGAATGGTACCCGTAATGAGCCGGGCCCACCGGGCTCGGCACCGCCACCGAGGCGGCGTAATGCCTGGGGCCCACAGGCCCACCGAGAATACTCCTCACCGGCAACAGAAAATAGAACTCCTTGTCGCCGATCTGAAGAAGGTCTTGCGAGTCGAGCTTGACCGGCGCGTTTCCGGGAAGGTGGAGCACGCCCTCGACGAGGCAGCCGTTCTTGCCGAGGACCTCGAGCGCGAAACGGCGCCGTGTGAAATCGTAGAAAATTCGCGCGTGGTGGCGCGAAATGTTCATGCCGCCGCCGAGGCTCGAGAGGTCGACGTCCACCGTTGATTTCTTGGAATTCCGGCCCAGTATTATGGAGTAGGTCTGCATGTAGTACTCAAAGTCTTCGCCTTGAAGCTTGGCGAAGCCGGCCTCCACATCGCCGCTGGTCGCCGCCATTGAAATTTTCACAGATAGTGGATCGGAGAAGAAACTGATATATGCCCAAATCCCAATTGGGTTGGGTCTACTTCTTCTCAATGACAAATGGGGTTTATGGGGCAGATTGTGGGATTTTATTGAGTGAACGGGGTCAAACTAGAAATAAAACAAATTGTTTTCTTCTTTACCGAAAAGTTAATTTTTTGATATTCGCAAGCTTGCCCCTTTGGCTTCTATTTACCCCCCTGAATTTTCTTTTCTGCCCGCCTACCCTAACGAACACTTTCATCTCCTTCGATCTTCTTCTTCTCCGCCAGGAAATTCACGGTAACTCTCTCTACCCATCTCGAAAGACTTAATATTTTTGCTAAAAATCCTTGCTTTCTTTCAAGTTGAGTAGAGTTGTGAGGTTAAATATCTGTCTTTCTTTAACAAATTTATGAGTTTGTGAGGTAAAATGATTATGCATTTGTTTTGGGGAATTAGAGGGATCTATTATTGGAATTTGGTGCACTATAGATACACTTGCTTTTTGTTTGGGATCTCATATGATCCATGGCTTGACACACATGTTTGCATTAGGGTTTGCTCTTGATTTTTATTGCATTTGCAATGAGTTTTTGATTTAAAAAGTGGGCAACTTTAATTGAAATGCCAGTCTGCCAGATGATGATGGGAAAGCGCAAGGGCTTTGAGTTCCAGATTACCATTACATGCACTGGAACAAATGAGATGGATAATATGATCTATCCCTTCTGATGGCAGCTAATCAGCAACTATTGCACGAAGTTTACAATTTTACAGTGCTGATGCAGAAGGAAATTCTTCTGTTCTCTCTTCATCTCGTCCTGTTGTGAGCAGGGCATTGATTGAAGGTTCTCACACCTTAATTTAATCATGTGGTTGAGTGAGAGCAGTGCGGGAGTAAGTGACCACGGTCATATCACAACGGCACCTTTCCCCATTTGTTAATTTCTAGGTTATTGGGTTGACTAATAGTAGATTAGGTTGTCAAACCCCCAAGGGTGGGAATGAGGGAGGTGTTTAGGGGAAGGGGAGGGCCTACTGGACTGCGTTAAGAAAAAAAGTGGGTGGTCAGGGCTTTATGTTTTCAGCATTCATGGGTGGAGAATTCCTGGACAAGCATGGTTGAATGAGTTAGTTGGCTCTAAGGTTTAATTAGATGCAGTATGATCTGCGATTCTTTGATATAGGACAGTTGTTCCTGTCATGTAATATTGTAATGACTAATGAGTTTTAGATTTAAAAAGCTGGCAACTTTAATTGAAACTGCCAAGTCTACCAGATGATGTTGGGAAATTGCGCAAGGGCTTTGAGTTCCAGGTTACCTTTTACATGCACTGGAACAGTGAAAAGGATAATATGATCTATCCCTTCTGATGGCAGCTATTGATCAATGATTGCACAAAGTTTACATTTTTACAGTGCAAATGCAGATTCATCTGTTTTCTCCCATCTTGTCCTGGCTTGAGCAGGATAATGATTGAATTGTTCTCATACTTTAATTTAAATATGTGGTTGAGTGACCAGTGAGAGAGTGAGGGACCTCCGGCTCTTATAGCACAACAGTACCTCTCCCCCTTTATTAATACTTAGGTCACTGGCTTGCCTACTAGTCAAGTAGGTAGTCAAACCTCCAAGGGTGGTGATTGGGTTGGAGTTTAGGGGAAGGGAAGGGCTAATGGACAGCCGGAAAAAAATATATAAGTGGGAAGTAAGGCCTGTATGTTTTTTTAGCATTCATGGGTAGAAAATAACTGCACAAACGGGTCATGTTAGCCTTTTCTTTTTGTTCTGAATTTATGAGTACAGTTGAACTGGTTACACTTGCTGTTGAATTGATTGTGTGTGCCATTCTGCTGCATTCTTTATTTTCTTTTTTTGCGGTGTTGCTTGCATATTTAAGATACTTGTTTCACCATGGATACACGTATGAAATCCACTGCAGACATGCATTGCCTTGTGTTCTTGGTCACAATTCTTTTGTTGCTTTAGCACACTTGAAAGACATTTTATGTTATCAAGCAAGATATGATAGTGGTCCACCTGTGGTGCTTTTTTTTGTTTTCACTTATGTTATTTGTAACTTACAGAGGAGTGGGAACTCTTCAATATAAATCAATGAAGCATATTGTGAAAATTATGACATTGTTGGTGGCCATCTCTGCCTTGTGGATTGGTCTCTTACAGACATCAATTATCCCACGTAGTCATACTTGGTTGGTGAGTTATTTGTATTTTGGTTGGTTTATGTCAACACCTTTCACTTATTCATGTTATATGATGCTTACTATGCCCTGTTTCTACCTTCTTCCCAGCTACCAATATATTTCATTGTGTCTCTAGGATGCTATGGGCTCCTAATGGTTGGAGTTGGTCTGATGCAATTTCCAACTTGTCCTCAAGAAGCAATATTGTTGCAGCAGGTAGTTTACTTTTCTATTTATTTTCTGTTCAGTTTAGATTGCTAAATCATACTTTTGTTAAGCTCTGTTACACACATCTCTCACCGATTTCTTCTTTATCTGTTTTTTTTATAATGAAATTTCTTGTATATATGTTTTGAGTTTGAGACTTATGCATAATATGGATCCGTCCGGAGCTTCCATTGTCGGCCTTTGTCATTAGACCACTATCTTTTTTTTTAAAGTTACTGAGAAAAGTCATGTTTTAAACTCTTTTTCTAATCGTTTTTATCTCCTGCAGGATGTAGCTGAGGCCAAGGAGTTTTTGAAGCAGAAAGGGGTCGATGTGGGTGGTTGTGATTGATTCTGCACACAGAGTTCTGCCTCAGTGTTTCAATACAAAGAAAAGACCTAATTAAATGCAGAATCCATTGAACTCCGTGCATTCTAGCAGTGGTATGGTGGAAGACTTCATAACAGTTCATTGCTTCCACCTGACGGGAAAATTGGGAAGGTTTTACTAGGTGAAGCAATGAACCCCTTTGGAGTTTTTAACTTTAACAACAAACATTAAGCCTTTTGGCTTATTGAATTGTGGGAAATAGAAAGAACTTTGGAAAGTGTACATGTTATAGTTGATCATTTCCTGTTTATGTCTCAGAAGAAATTTGTATCCTTTGTTCTTTTTGCTACAAGTATACAGGCTTTTATCAAGTGGGACTCTCTCTCTCTCTGTGAATGTCAACAAAAATGTATGTTGGGAGATTCTTTGTGTTCTGTCATGGTGGCCCATATATGTACCTAAAGAGGCCAGAGGTGTTTCTCCTGCATCCAGTTGCACATAAAGAGTTCTTCCTGCATCTGTAGGATGCATGACTGGGGCTCTGAACCACGGGGCGCACTGAGGTCAGTGCATCATGTGGTCCTAGTCTCCACCTTCGTGTATGTGAGACTGGATGCAGGGAAAAGATCTCTCAGAGAGAATACTTCATCAGTAAAGAAGAATAAAGGCCAAAGTTGATTTTCTTTGTTCTTTTTCTTTTGATCCTCATCATGAACCCATGTTCGTATTTGATCTACTTGATCGGAAAGGACAAAGCAACCAGGCAAGGTGAAACATAGCCTAGCTTTAATTGCCATTTTTTTTTCCTTTACCTATCGTGTTTATCCATAAATCAATGATCAGAGGAAGAAGGATGACAGAGGTATCTATAACTCTTGAACAAATTATTGAAGATCTTATTAAGCAATGATAAGTCCCCATCAAATACTGTAGGATATGAGAAGTTACTGAGTAATTCGACCTCTCACATTGGGGTGGACCTATCATTTTGTGTATGGGGGAACATTACTCCTTGACTGTGAACTCATATGGAATATTATATAATGTCAAAATCACTTTGAAAGTACAAATAAAGGAGATTATATATATAATTTTTTATTATAAAAAAACTCAAAATAAATGTGTGATTAGTATTTAAAAATTGAAATCAACAAACTTTTTCAAGCTGATATACATAATTATTGAAAAAAAAATATCAAGGATGTAAGAGACTTGATGATCTTCACATGAATATTCCATTTCCATTTCCATAATAGCACCTGTAAAAGCCAAGACTTATCCCCCAACTTGGTCCCCTCCATTTTTAGTCCTTTTAACTATTACTACCTTCCTCTTTAGAGAAGTAAGATATCAGAAATTGGGCTGCAAAACGGTATTCATATTATAATTCATTGAATAATTAATTGAAGTTTTTAAATTATTTTTAAATATTTTTTTTAGTTTTAACAAAAATTTAATGAAAATAATCGCATTTACTAACATATACAAACACAGAGACTAAATTAACCAAATTAATAATACGAGGATTAAATTGATCGATGAGTTAAAACACAGGAACCATGACAAGTTGTTATATATATATATATATTCATATTATGTAATGCAGGGTGGGGTGGGGCATAATAATTAAGTCACTAAATACTATTAGTCATTTCATTTCATGTAGAACAAACTTGTTTTTTTTATATAGATTAAAGGAGTAGAATGGAGTGACAATAAAATTTGCCTTTTCTTTGGACCCAAATTCCAGCTCACAAGATTTAGCCCAAACACCCTTTACTCATTTCACGTCAGTCTCGTCCTCCTCTCTCTCCCTCTCCCTCTCCCTCCCTCTCCCTCTCTCCTTTCCTGTTCTTCATAATCATAGCAGAGAAGAAATGCAAACCCATGTATAAAACTACAAGCCAAGCCAAATCACAATGCCACACGAGCAAGCCATAGATCCAAAGTTTTAAGCTTTTTAACCAAATAAACAAAACCCATTCAGTAAAATCCTCCGACTTTCTCAACCCGCCATTGAAATGGGTGGTCTGAGAGAGTCATGGTGCTTCTGCAAAGGAGTGAGCAAGTCTGAGAAAATGAAGGCCGCCATTTTCTCCGGCAAGGCTCCGGCCATGGCCAGAATTTTAGGCCCCGGAAATGGGATCTCCGGTACCGGATTCCTGATCCACAGAAGCCTCCTATTGACCACCCACGTCAACCTTCCGTCCGTGGCAGCTGCGGAGAGCTCCGAGATCCGGCTGCAAAACGGTGTCGCTGCAACTCTCGTTCCCCAAAGGTATTGGCTTTGATTTTCTTTTTCTTTTATAAATAAATTTTGTATTTTTCTTAGTTACGTGGGAAGTTCAGTGAAAGTGAATACTGGGTTTTGTGCTGATTTGTTTTTGGAACAGTGGAAAACCACCCGGCTGAATCTTCTGCTATGTATTAGTTTTACATTAGGTGGGCTTTATTTACTTAATTTTCGTGGGTCCCATATGATATAAATTGAAAGTTTAAGTAGTTTGATTATGATGTTTCTACCATTTTCTTATATATCAATAGAAGTGATTAGTGTTTGTTGGATAGTTGGTTGTGTCCTCTGTGTTTGTATTGGTGAGATTTGATTTGGTCAAAAGTTCTAATGTGAAATGATATTTGGGAATTAATTTATGAGGGCAGCTGTGCTGCTAAGTAATTTAATTGATTTGCGTCCAACTTTTGGTGATTGTGAAGATGTTGGATCTGAGTGGATCGTATTCATACATTCCCACAAGTGAACTATTGATTAGGAGAACAAAGTGTCATCTAATAACTATTCTATTCAAATTAGTAATTGTTGAATGTGGAAGTCTTTAATGTAGGGGATATCAACTGGGGAGTTAGGAGTAGTGATGATGCAGTGTATTAGATGAAATAAAAGTAGTATGGTGGAGGGAAGGCATGGCTTGACAGAGATAGAAAGGGCAAGAATTTGGAGGCAATAGCTAGTGACGAGAAAATGGAAGAAAGTGCTTGGTAGTTTAGTTTGACATTGGCAAGTATTGGTCATTTTCTCTGAAAAAGTTAAAAGGAAATTTTTTGAAATTGCTTTCTCAAACTCTCTAGAACTGATTTGGCCAGTCCCTTCCCTAGTTTTTTTTTTTTTTGGGTTCCTACGGCTTCTTTGAACAATTCACTTGTAATTATGTTGTTTTCTCTTGGATTGCCTCTGCGCATTGATGGTTTTGTGACACAATCAAATAAGTTAATAAGGGAAGAATGGTAATGGAAAATTGGAGTACCTAGCATCATCATCACGATTTCCATTTTAATATATGTAATTATTGAACACAAATTCTGTTGAATCTGATATACTTGCTGTTTTATACTTGTAGACTAATGGGGAAAGGAAAATTTGGGGACATTCTTCTCAAAAAGCATCAATGTATCATGGTTTCTGGTAGCCTTTGCATAATAGGCATGTAAAGTTTTTCTCATTCTTTCATTGAATTGCAGATTTTTCATCACCAGCTCCATTTTAGATCTTACAATAGTAGGTTTGGATGCGGTGGATGGAGATTCAAATGCCCAAGGCCACCTGCACCACTTGAAGACCTGCTCTAAACCAACCCTGGATCTGGGCAGTGTAGTTTACCTTCTAGGCTACACAGAGAAAAAAGAATTAACAGTTGGCGAAGGTAAGGTAGTGATAGCCACTGACAATCTCATAAAATTGTCAACTGATGGAGTGATGTGGAGCCCTGGTTCAGCTGGATTTGATGCGCAAGGAAATCTTGCATTTATGATATGTGATCCTATGAAATTAGCAACATCGCCAAACACCAAATCCTCATCAACTTCGTCGTCATCAACGTCATCATGGAAGAAGGATCTTCCTATGCAATTTGGTATCCCCATTCCAATAATTTGTGATTGGTTAAATCAGCACTGGGAAGGTAGCCTTGATGATCTTAACAAGCCTAAGCTACCACTCATTCGATTAATGTCTTCTGGTCAGAAAAGTGAGCACTCTTGTGCTTCCTTCACACAGCGGCGGGTTTTTAAGTCAACTGAAGCTGATAATGATGGAACAACTTCTTCATCAAACACAGTCTCAAAAACAAGGGACCAGCCTGGACCAAGCTGCTCTGCTGCTGCAAACACTGTTGAAGAAGAGGCCCTAACAAGTGATCCTCATGCTGCCCATGTACAGGGCATTCCTACTCCAGAAATCTATGAATCACCCAAGTTAACAGCTGTTCCCATTAGGAGAAAAGAAGGTTCCCCGATTCAGCTTTTGGACATTAATTTTCCTCCAAGGGTTACAAAACCAGCAGTTCTGCCACAGCCGACCAAAAAGTTACCACCAAATTCTGATGAGAATTTTGTCAAGGCGCCTCCACCGCGAAGCCCAATAAGAGAAGAAAACCAAATCAAGAACAGAAGACCAACCAGTCCTGACGCTGATGCTGAAATTGCCTCAACAGGTTCTGTAAATGGGGCCCAAAGTGAGGTTCAGTCTAGTTCATTCCCGCTAGAAGTTTCAGATATGCAGAATGGGTATAGCAGTGAGGGAGAGACTATGTACTCCGCAGAAACTGCCGAGAGTCGAAATTATACCAGTCCTGCAGAGGGAAAGTTTCAACAAGTGGGAAGGAGCCAGAGTTGTGTGAATTATAATAGATGGGGAGCCGCCCAAAGTAATCCAGTGGCTCGCAGGGCATTGCTAGAAAAGCAAAGGAGCTTTATCCATGGAAGGAAGATGCATTCACAAGGGGCAACTTCCCAAAGGAGCAATGACTACTACAGCCCAACTGTCTCCTCAATCATGAAGAAGCGCAACTCAGAGCAGCAGCCCGTCAGACCCCGGCAAAGTGCTGTTCATTCCTCTCCCAAATGGAATTTCTAAGTGAATCTTGACAAAGATGATACCTGAAAGTGATTAACGACGAAAATATAGTGTTTTGTGGTGTGAGTTGACGCCCATTTCTTTCCACTATGGTATAGTGTACAAATTTGTTGCGACTGTGAAGAGACAGATGTCAGGTGAATAAGAAAATTCAGCAAATTGTAATTTTGCACGTGAGGAGTCACGTAGTTACTGGTTACATATCATCTATAAATTTATTTTTTGAGGGGGAAAGACCCATGATGCACGGACACTTCAAAAACCTGTAGTGTTGGACACTAGGACACGCGGACACGGTCAACAGACAAGACACGGCGATGTTGAAATGATTCCCAATGGCAAGTAGAAATTTGTATTTATTTATTTTTTATAAGTTGAATGATTTGTATTTATTTATGGGCAATTGCCATATAAGGTTTACTTGTATTGCGTTGTAGTTCCCCTTTTTGTTAATTACTAGAACTAGCTCTCAGTACAAGTATTTGTGGTTTTAATAAAACAAGATAAGCGCTCGCTCAACCTTAATTTCCTGGTGTATTGGCCTTGACACACAGATCACAAACTCTGAGAGGAGTTATCTATTATCTACGGGTAAAATATGGTGTCACAAGTACTAACAAAGCCGATATTTTTTCTGTTCATGGGCGGACGAAGACATGAAAGATGATTGTTATTCAGAGCAAGCCTGGACAAACAAACAATAAGAGGAACAAAACTAGAGACTATAGATGCTTCTCATTGCACATGTAACTCAAAAGAAAATGTCCAACGTTAAAAGACGTCTATGCTGCACTGTGGCATTATTCTCAAAAACTACCATGAGCCTGTTCTGATCTCCTAACACTAGAATTTAGTAGCAGATAGCAGGGCTGCCAAACTACGCAATATTGCTAAACAGCTGAGCTAAAAAAGATAAACTCCAGCACT